CGTGATTTAACTCGAAAATTTTAATCTAACTTTAAATTCAAATTCGAAAATCTCCTTTGGAATAAGTGTCAAAAAACGATTATTAATAGGGGCTTAAGAATACACATCAACAGAATATGCGGATCATTTGTTTGTTACGAAGCACTTTTTTTGCTGAATGTAATCATTCTCACATAATAACAAGATAAACACCCATCTGTGTAAATGAGAGGAAAGTATTGACGATTTCAGCGATGCATACTACATATTTATCTTAACAATCATCTTGATACTGTTCTTAAAAGCCAAAAATATATCTGTACTGATTTGATGATTACAAACCTTCTCGTTCACGTATACTCCTCTTTCGGCAAAATTTGAGAAATCTTTAATGAGGACATCCTTTATGAACTCAGGATCTTTGACTAATAAAATAGGATCAAAACACGAGTAAATGCCTACTAGCGGTTCTGCACTATGTTCGACGCATACTTCTTTCAAGAATTCAGCCAGAGTCGTCTTGCCGAGCAGAATTCTGCCGAAGTTGCCGAGAATCGGTACCGGTGTCGGGCCTTTCACGCCACGAACTTTCCAATAGCTGTACTTTGCGGTAATATAATAGTACAACACTAGAAAGATTGCGACGCAACCAAGCAGGATATCGTAGTGAATCATCACGCACGCCGTTAATCCTCTTTTAGCAGCGACGAAACTCCCTGTTATTGATTTTTACTCGACAATGAAAAACTCGTCGTTCAACTGCGCGTAATCTCAGATTGCCATCGTCGTTGTCGTCGCCGTCATCGTCGTAGCGTTTGTTATATTTGAAACTAGAACGCCAATGATGCTTGTTTTCTTATTGTAGGCGCAATGATCACTAATGCAACATTGCACAAAAAATGGGCGTTGCCGTAGTCACAGATATAAAAACCGTCTGTACGCCACTTCGTAATGCAAGAAATATCATTTTCGTGTCGGCAAGAGGTTGAATTATTGACAGAAAGAGAGGGGATTTATCATGTCATAAATTTAAGTCGGTGAGATACACTATCGCTATTTGTTTTGCCGCTTTTGTGAAACACAGCAAACATGATCAAAGTCGTGACATCTGAAGAAGTGAATATACATAAAATAATATGTTATAAATGTTAATTCTGATTATATATATAATGAGCGAAATGAAATTGGCAGGCATGTTACCTTCATTGTAACTGTCTCCACATAACGAAGATTTGAGAACGTTATCAATGACGTATTTGACAAGCTTCCACTGGCTTATCGTTAAACCTCCATCAAGTACGTGGTCTACAGACCAAACCAACGTTTGTATACTAATCAGCGGTACATCTCTTTTTTATATACATTCATAGAATCTATTGTTTATACTATATGTATTTTTTAAACAATATATATGTGACATTTATATATGCATATATATACATTGAGTGTAAAAAATATTTGTACACCAGAGATTGTCTTGAAAAAGGCTTAATGTACGAATATTTTTTACACCGTATATATATCTGTGTAATCGTGATTTAACTCAAAAATTCTCATCTAACTTTAAATTTAAACTCGAAAATCTCACTTAAAACAAGTTTCAAGTGATTATTAATATAGATCAAATGACTATTAATATAGATCTAAGAATAGACATCAATGGATTATCTGTTGTTTTCGAAACATTTTTTTTTTTTTTTACTGAATGTAATCATTCTTACAGGATAACAAAATAAATACCCATCTATGTAAATGAGAAAAAAGTCTATACATTTTGATATTGGAAGACTTTGATACTTAATACTTAATACAATTGTAAAAGTATACAATTTTAAAAGTCAGAGACAATAAATCTCACTTTCAGGGGCCGAGATATTGTGGTCTACCACGCCCCTACTGGAGGAAGAAAACACAACTTTCGTATGTGTACAATAGATAACGTAGAAACTGAGACGCATATTTACGTGTAAGTAAAGTCCAATATGATCATTGTAATCTTACTTTGTCAGATAGGGATAGAAATAATGAACTTGCAACAAAACGTTGAATAATTGTTTAATTTATACTATCCCACAGAAAGATTTATACTATCAGATTTATACTATCACACAGAAAGAGGTATAATACCAAAGATAAGAAATTTTCCTAAATTCTATTATTTAATATCATACTACTCTACCGCTATCCTATTGTCAAGCATTATAATATTATCGGTAAAAACTTTGAAATAAACGACATAAGATAATGGTATTAATAAACACTTTCGACAATGGTTAACACGCCACTATAGGTGTGCGCTATAGCGAAGAATACTTTTTCTTTATTTTTCTTAAAACTATTATTTCACATAGAATGTGCTCAAAGTATAATACCTCGGGAGTGTTCATATATAAATACAAGTTTTCTACGCTTTGTTTCTTTCGTGTATGCAGAAAGAGAGAGAGAGAGAAAGAGAGAGAGAGAGAGAGGGAGAGAGAGAGAGAGAGAGAGAGAGAGAGAGAGAGAGAGAGAGAGAGAGAGAGAGAGAGAGAGAGAGAGAGAGAGAGAGAGAGAGAGAGAGAGAGAGAGAGAGAGAGAGAGAGAGAGAGAGAGAGAGAGAGAGAGAGAGAGAGAGAGAGAGAGAGAGAGAGAGAGAGAGAGAGAGAGAGAGAGAGAGAGAGAGAGAGAGAGAGAGAGAGAGAGAGAGAGCATATACTCGTAGCACTATACTTCGAGAAAACTTTACTATGTGACAATATAACTTCTATTTTGTATATGTCTTTTCCTTTTTCCATAATATTTATTCAGAATATATATTATACGAGATATATGAGAATATTAATAATAAAAATTACATTTCTTATTATCTATTCATTATTACTATCAGATTATTTTCTTTTTAAAGTGAATTAATAAAAACGTTTCTGAACAAATTAGTAAAAGTAATATTAGTGAATAATCATTGATTTTCAGTGAAAATACTTTATTACTCTTATTTTACTATTTCATCTTATATCTCATTGATTTTGACGAGTGAAAGTAAAATTACACTGCAAAATCTTTACACTACAAATTCGTTATATGCTATCTAATCCAAGTTTCTGCGCGTGCAGAATGACAGTCAATGTTTGCAAATTGCATCATAAATAGTGGTTTCTATCAAATAATTCTTTCAGAAAGATTTTACTATGATTGCAGTAGCCTTTTAATTAAACTATTAATTATAAGTACAATATTTCAATGAAGAATATACACTGATTGTATTTTAGAGGATATATGTAGATACACACACAGTTTAGTAGCGCAGCGTTTGAGTTACATAAAATTGAAGTCGTTCAGTTGTAGTTAAGTAAGCTTGGTTAATCTAACATATATGCCGTGTTCCGTTTGCATCATTAGTGGGTGACTGCGTTCAAGGATGTATGGGATTTGAGTTTTCTCGCAGACGTCGATCTTGTAATTCAGCAGTACCTTTATGAGACCGATTTTCGATTGATATCCGGCGAACCTCATACCTGAAAATAGCGTAGACAATATTGCGATATGATGAAACAGCATGTCTCTGTTTGTCGAGAGAGAGAGAGAGAGAGAGAGAGAGAGAGAGAGAGAGAGAAATCACGCGTAAATATCGCGGTAAATATTTGTGCTTAAAGATAAAAAGTACCGATACAATTCCTCGGGCCGGTCCCAAATGGTAGGTAATGCATGGGATTCATGTTTCGCATGTTCTCATCAGTGAATCTGTCGGGATCAAAAACATCCGGATTCGGGAAGATGTTCGGATCATTCTGAATGCCGAAGATGGGTATGTACACTTTATAATTCTTCTTTATGTTGACTTTATTCTCAAAAGTGTAATTCTGCTGGGTATTTCTTGTGAGGAACATCACTGGCGGATATTTCCGGAGAGTTTCTGCGAAATCACAAAGAACGTGAGACTCTCGACAAAGGTGTTTCCGAACAGTCAATTTCTCTTATAGTTAAGCAACGTTTGACGAAGATTTCTCGTGTGTACTCGCTTAAAAAATCTCAAAGGTTAAAAGATCAGCAGGTCAACATCCATGATATATTTCGATATAATTCGGAATATAATAAATCGTGGAAGGACGATTCCGTGAAATCCGAACAAACCTTTCATTATTTGCTCCAAATAAGTCATCTTCTTAATACCATCATACGTTATCACTCCATTGTTGCTATCAAGGATCTCCTTAATTTCAGTTCGCGCTTTCTCCTGAATCTTCGGATATTGCGCCAACTCGTACATAACATTGCTCATCGTCGAGGAGGACGTCTCGTGGCCGGCCGCGAAAAATACGAACAGTTGAGCCGCAACATATGTGTCCGGTACCTCTGTAAAAAGCAATTAGTCTCATATTAGAATTGATGATTTGATTAGATAGTCGTCGAATTACCTAATTAGTATGAATTAGCTGATGTTATTCGTCATATAAGATGTAAATAACGTAGAGTATTCAAAGAAAATAAAAAAGGAGAAGATTGAATGAAATTAACTCAGGAATCAAAGGGCGAAGCTACTTACCGTCAAGACCCAATATCTCGGGATGATCCTTAAAATTAGTGAGCGCGCCGATGAAATCGTGTCTCTGCACGTTGTTCTTTCTTCTGTAATCTATGGTATTCTTGACCATGTTTGTCATGAGATTTGTCACGTCGTGGTCATCGAAAACATTTCCAACCCAGTCGTATAAGTTTGGCATAGTTTCTCTACATAGGTTTCTGAAATACGTCTTTATAGAAGATCGGAAGATCTTAACGCCCAATTTTTGGAACTCGCTGTCCTTCTGCTTCAGCGCGTTCATTTCAATGCCGAAAACGCACGATCCGATCACGTCGATGGTGTATTTAGACGTCAACTCCCGGCACTCGACGATCCCGTCTTTGAGCACGATCTCGTTCAGCTGCTTTTCCAAGTGCTCGGCACACTCCAGCAACAAGTGAAACATGTCCTTCAACTTTCCGGACGTGAAGACGGGCGAGAGCCGCGTTCTTAATGGTCGCCATCTAGCACCGTCGATCCTGAAGAGATGCACGGACATGGGTTCGGCCTATAAATTATGCATCAGTGTATCAGAAAGCAGGAATTACGTTAGAAAGTTCCCCCTCAAAGTTTCCGTGTGATCAACGCCTACCCGGAAACTTATACGCCAGCAACTCCGTGCTGGCGAGGGAGAAAGAGAGAAGGTGAGCCTATAGTCCCTTTCTACTGTACTCTCAATTTTCTAATCTACATTTCTCGCGATTGACACGTAATTGGTTTAGATCTGACTACCCAGCAAACACAGGATGTGTTTGTAAACACAGTCTGCCGTTTTATACTTATATATTAAATCAAACTGAACAAAAAAGTCCTCTACCATTTTGCAAATGACCATATAGACTTTTAGATATTAAAGAAAATTACATATATGATTGTGTACCGTAATGCATAGGACTTTTATGTTCACCTCAATCCATTCTACATTCCTACTTAATATAAGAAGGAGAGTCTGGGACATCCTGTATGTGTTTGCTGAATAGCCACGTAAATGTTTGCGCGAATGTACGATTACAAAGGTGGCATAAGCTATGAGTCGTTATTAAATGTCCTTTCTTTGATTCTTCATTGTAATTTTATGACTTACGTAATTGTCTGGCTAACCATGAATCTTTCATCACATTTTATTTTTTGTTATATATTATTATTTTTAAATTAACGCTCTTTTACATTTTCTGCAGTTCGAAAGAGAAATTTATTTTAAGAGAAGCACGCCACACGACCGAGCGGCTAACGCGTGTGTGTATTTTAATAAGCCGCTGCTAAGGAAAACAAGTTTATAAATTATTTATCGTGCTATCGTACCTTCTCGTGGACTGCAACATTCCGTTCGGGAAAAACGGAGAAGTCTTTGATCAACACCTGCTTGATTAACTCAGGATCCCTGAGAACAAGCGCGGGTTTTCCTCTTTGGAAGATACCGATCATCGGCTCGTTCGGATATTCTTCGTAAATCTTCCTAAGGTAACTGCCTAGACTTAACTTGCGCAAAAGGTGACTGGCGATGGTGCCAAAAAACGGAATCGGTTTCGGTCCTTTAACACCTTGGGACTTCCAAAAATCGAAGTCGGCAGTCAGATAATAATAGAATAATAACAAAACCACGAATAAGACACAGAGAATATGGAATGCCATCTTGTCGACTGATTCACTCGTCACTTGATCGTTCTTTAATTATTGCTGCTGGACTGGTGTATCCTTTTCTTTCGATACTGGAGCACAGTAAGATCTCATTAAGTCCTCTCGCTTTAAGTCTGTTCCCCTCCACATATATTTTCATTAACACTTAGAGTCCCTTCCATATTACAGTGTACTGGAAAAAAGCCTATTGTTCGCGTAAATACACAGCACAGGCTGATTGCACAAGTAGTATCCAATATTTTACTTGTAGTGATGTGCGATTAAAAATCTTTTCTTGTATTGAAAGACATATATATATTTATAAGTCCGTCTCTTATATTTCCAAAGCTGGTTTTACATGTATCTTCAAATTGAATAACTGTAAACAATCGATTCGTCGGGTTTTATTTATCACTATATGTTCCGAACAGAATTGCGAGTAATTAATTACTTTTTCAATTAATTATCAAATTTAATTGACAATTAATATAAGTCTATTCAATTAAAAATAATTCAATTAACGATTGATTTGAAGGAATTCAATTAAAAACTGTTGAATTAATGATTAAAACGAGCGAAAGTAATTAAAGATTATTCGATTAACGATTGGATATAGTCAATGTAATTAAGGATTATTTAATTGACAATTGATATAAGCAAATTTAATCGAAAAGCACAGTAAGACAATTGACCAATCGATGTCAATTGAAATTGTAACCGTAATTGTTTACATTGCTCATGGTAACCAACTGAACTGAATATATATATATATAATATTATATATATATATATTGCTTATATCGATTGTTAATTAAATAACCATTAATTATACATACATTATACATTGACTACATTCACACACAATCGTTAATCAAATAATTTTTAATTATTGTCGCTCGTTTTAATCGTTAATTCAACAATTTTTAATTGAGTTCTTTCAAATCAATCGTTAATTGAATGATTTTTAATTAGATTTCTTATCAATGGTTAATTAAAATATTTTTAATTGAATAGGCTTATATTAATTCTCAATTAATTAAATTAGAAATTATTTACTCAAATCAATTATTAAATTAAGACAAATTTAATTGATATTTTTGGTTCCTAAAGACAGACTCACGACACACTCATCAAGAGAACTGCACTCTACAACTAATGTAGTTTCATAATATACGAAGCAGTTGTTTATCGTGCTGACTTGCAAAACTCAATATCTCTGCCATGCAGTTGATTTTATTTCGTCTGTCGTTATCTATAACGACGATAAATGACGTGACACAAAATGAGAAAGAAAGACAAATTATACTTTTCCAACTGCGAGTATAGAAAAGTAATTGAACTGATAAAACTTTATTTAACTTTCATATTGACAGAGTTAAGTGATGTGGGCATTTTAAGAATCATTCTTATCACTTTTGACACGACATCAAATAATTGTACAAGAAAAAAATAGAGTATTACTTTTTTATTCGAAATTAACATTTTTCATTCTGAATTTACTTATACGTTGTCAATTATAATCAAGATATTTTCGATTTTAATATTATTTAATATTATTAATATTATTTAATATTACTTTAATATTATTTAGTTGTATGTTTTGTTAAAAGTAACAGCTTTTTATCTGGAAATGAGAATAACACATTATATAAAAATACATTCGTGCTAATAAAACGAAAAAACCGAAACCAATACTCTTCTATATTTACATGATATATATATATAAAGGTAAGTGTAGTTAATTTTCCGCTGTATTCCGCTTGGGCAATATCTCTCCTGCATGTCCAACAGTGTGTGCGTGTGTGCAATCGGTATATATATATATATATATATATTTAATAATACATTTAAACCTTTTTCGATGACGTCATTGCAAAAAAAAACGTTAAAAAAAGAAAGTTATGCCTAGTTATAAAAATATCGGCTTTGTATTTTCGTAAAAATTTTTGTTTATCGAACATAACATCATTATAACAATTATAACAGAAATTTCTTATATATATCACTCTTCTGATCTGCCTTTTTAGGACTCTTTGATATTGCCAGATATATAACATATCAAACAATATAAATTTGCAGTTTCCAGGTTTTTTAACAAATTGTTATTTATTTGTAAGACGTTATTTATATTGTCCGGGAAATTCCTCTTGTGGAAGAACGCTACCCGTTCAAGTGGAGCCCAAATATGCTAACCGATCGCACACACGCACACACTGTTGGACATGCAGGAGAGATATTGCCCAAGCGGAATACAGCGGAAAATTAACTACACTTACCTTTCGGGTGATATAAATTATAGGTATTAATATATTACAGAGCATCCCGAAATTCGAGTAAAAGAATTCCATCGCAATAAAACTCGCGGAAAATTAAATCACCAAGTCACATACGATTTTTTATTCCAAGTAGGTTATGTTTTTGTTCTGATTATATTACAAGAGAGAGAGATTCGCCGGAATGGTAATAGTTGATATCTCGTGGATATCTCGTTTAGTTAAAAAATGACTGAAAACAACTCACGCGTTGATTAGCATATATCGTGTCCGTAACAATTGCATTTTAGTACTCGTCGCAGTCTTATGTCTTAAGATATCAGTTAACGATTAACAGATGGCAGGTGACAGGTCGTTTAAAGATAGAAATATACACACTTATGTGTTTTTTCAAAAGATTGATATCACGTTACGTAAAGCAGATATCACGTTACGTTCACAAAATGATAGTTGGTTACGTTCAATAGAAAATGCGGTTTGCACTGCGCTAACAGCAACTTTGCAACTGTTCTGAATGATAGTATCACTTAGAAGAAAATCTTACACAGTCATTACATAGTGTTAACGACTCATATAATTAACGCGAATTAACGATGTTTACGCGAACATATTGAAAGTATGCTGAAAAAAATGGCAATCGTATTATCGTTAATCGAAGTTAATCAGAGTTAGTGAAACGTATAAAAAAGAAAACGTGTTATACGCTGTAAAACGTCGAAATTACGTTGATTATGACACAATATCTATGTAACTCATAGATGATTTCGAAGCATATTATCGGCTCCGATACGAAAATTGATTGCTGTTTGCTGATTGTGGTGCATGTATGAAAGCGTGTATGAAAGAATGGAGTTTCACAGTCAACGAAATCATATATATTACCATGCACAGCTCCATGCACAATCTTCATAAATTTTAGCATGTACATACGAAATCACTTACATAATCGAGGATTGTATAACGAATGTTTAATTTAATCGAAGATAGTGACACGTGATATAATCACGTGTTATCGTACTATATTACCTCGAGTTAACGATGTTTGTGAAGTCAAGTGCGAAGTCACGTAAGTATGTCGTACTTCAACTCATATTACTTATCAATTATCCGATATTGACCGATGATCGATTAATCACATTTCGCGCAAATCAACTCCAAAACTTAAGAGATTGAGAACAAATCTACGCACTACCTGATTACTGGAAAATATCTTAACTTTTGTTGTATTAATCTTCAAATAAGATTACGTAGCGTTAAACGAAAAGTTACTTGCAGGAATATATTTTATATAATTCAACGCGCTATGTAATCCCTCTCATTTGAAGATTAACATAAAATAGAGATATTCTCCAAACAAGAATATCCTTTATTTCTGTGTATGTAGATCGAGCCTGTTAACATCTAGTGACAATGAAATAGTTTATACCGATTACTTAATACGCATACTAAATGATAATTTTCTATTTTTAATAGTAATTGTCTTAATATTGTTGATGCTTGTGAACAACGGTGTGCTAAGAAAGTACAATATACATCAAGAAGACGTATCTTTTTAATTGAATATACTGTCGTTTACACATATCGTCAATATTAAAATAATTTAATAGAAAATTATTATTAAGTACGCGTTTAAAGTGCTTGGTATAAATTAGTTAAATAGCAACTAGAATTCTTCGCTGATTCGCATCGTATCGACGTGCACTATGGCTGTTAATTGTTCAAGGAAACAATATCATAATATTGAACAATAATATTTAATGACAGTATTCAATAATATATACGATATACCGACTGTTATTTAGAGAGGTAGAGTAACATTTATAATTTAAAACAAAATTATATACAAAGACAGAAGTATTATATAATATATAGGATGTCCCAAGTTTTTCCGCACAAACTTTAAGTATATTCTACACGGAAAAAAAAAAAAATTGGTTGAATTAACCAAATATCTGATCGAATATGAACGATTCAGAAATTCCGATTGAAGTAACCCGAATTCTGTTTAAGTTAACAAAAAGTCTTGTTAACTTAAACAGAATTCGAGTTACTTCAATCGGAATGTCTGGTTCATATTCAACCAGATATTTGGTTAATTCAACCAAATCTTTTTTTCCGTGTATAAAAGGAAATAAGAAAAAATGTTATATAAACATAGATTCCAAAACACTTTATTAAAAAGTTATAGCAAAAATATGAAATATATAAAGAACTGTATAAAGAAATGTATGTATAAGAAATGTATAAAGAAATTTTCTATTTAAGTTTGCAAAGTGCCATCCGCTCATATTAATACAAAATTGATATTGATTTGAATATTAAGTTTATTATCCTAGTGATTTCGTGTCTCTATTTTGCTTAATCTCTCCGTCAATAATAACGGAGAGTCAATAATGTTTGTACTATTCATCTTTTGACTCATATCCGATAAACTTTATTTTTTATCGCCCCTATAAATAGAAGTCTAACCTTAGGCCAAGATACCGGTCCTCCTCGACCAAACCGTCTTTAAAATAAACTTAGAGACAACTTAGAAAAATTGTTTCTTATATATTTTCATTTATACGTTTTTTTTTTTGCTATAACTTTTTAATAAAGCCTTCTGAAATCTATGTTTATATAATATTTTTTTTCTCATTTCAGCTTATACTATTCAAAACATACTATTAAAGAACATATTATTAAAGTTTGTGAAATCTGAGGCACTCTGTATGTAGGGATATAATTGCTCAGAATGTTCTCTTGAAAAATAGTTCGTCCGAGATACGTACCTGTGTCACATATACACACAAAACGCAACACAGAGAAAGATAGGATAGAATTCAGTAAACTTTACTTCTGGATCGAGTGCTGCCTTCCGGCTTCAGAGGAACAATGATGACTGACTCTCGCACGCTGAACGCGTGTATATAAAGTTAAAATCACACGATACACGACTTCATGCCTTCTTATATTCATGCTGATCGGCAATTCAGTTCATGAATCGTTATTATGCATTAGGAGATCTATGCAGTGAACTCTGAACCACCAGTCAGCATGCACATTAAAAGCTAAGCTTCTAGTTTAATCGCGGACTAGGATTGCAAAAAAGATCAAACCGTCATCTGAAAGTATAGTAAAAATAAGTAACAATCCAGGGCACGTATTATAAAACTCTCCGGAATCGAAATCGATTCCGATTCGATTAGAATAAATTCTCTTTTTCCCAAAAAAGACAATATAAATCTGGAAAATAACTGAATAATTCCGATTTCCGGAATTTATTCTAAAGAGTTCCATGATACATGCCCAATTAGGCCCATTGCTTTCACAGTCCAACCGTTATTTTTAACAACAACAAAAAAAACCAACCGTTTCCGGGCCTCTCGCAGATTCCCGACCGATATTTTTAACTTTAGTAATATTAGTTTTTGCTTAGATCGTTATATTTACGAAATCGGAGTCGTCGAGCCGACGAACAGCCGTTCTCATAATAGAAATGTTCAAAATACATCATGGGGATATCTTAGAGATGTTGCGATATCTTTAGGATACTCCTTAATTCTTAAGTTATTTTAGAATTTGGAAATTCAAGAATAAAAGAATTGAGAGAAATAAGAGAAGAGTTGCCCTCCACATACTCTGATTCTATACATATCTTTGCCGCCTCGTCGAACAATCAATTGTCACGACAAACACGTAACCACATTGCGAAATTTGTAGTTGTTATGTGATTGTAAAATTTGTAGTTGTTATCGTGCCACTAGATATGCGTTATAAATATGTGATGTATAGCCATCATTTTATGCTTCGACTTTGCAATTCATAACATAGATAAAATTTAATCTCTTTTCATGCGCTGTTTTATTTAAAAGTACCGCGTGTATCATGTTTTCAATATTTTGTTATATATATTGAGACTGATCTATATTCGCGTCCACGCTGAAATTTATCGTATTTCAAGAATAGGCTCGTAACATTTCCAAAATGCATAGTTAAACATAGGTCAACCGTTCGATGTGCTCATTCTGCCACATCTCGACGACTACCGATATTTTGTTGAATTATTATCGGATTTACGTTAATTCTTCCGAAATGGCTCTCCTCGCTTCGCTCGTAAATCCTAACTGAATCCGATCGACCCGGGGAGCTCCGTTTTCATATTTTTAATTGAATTCACATGCACCTCATGAAAGTATACTGACACGAAAGTACATTGAATCGTTTGATATTTTCATGTGTGGACATTAAAAATAAAATTGAACCGCAGCGACTTCGCCTCGAGCGATAACTAGGAATGTTTACCGGTACATCGTCTCATTCATGTCATACCGACATCCGTTTCTCGTGATAAGATTACTCCACTTATTGTTCAGATACAACACTGATGGACAACGGGGAATGACCGACTCCATGATAATAAAGTACAATAATTTCTGTAAGATTTGGTATATAATTGTGTATTCAACTGTGACATATCACAGCTGAGTACACAATAAATATCACTTTTAGCTCCTCGCTCACGATGATAAGTACTTATTCTGCTCGACAGTGTTATTTCCTTGCAATAACTATCGGACTAGTCTGCCAACAGCTATCGTATATTCTCTGTATACAATTCCATCGCCTCATTTATCCTTGAGCGTCGAGATAATCAAAATAAGAATATGTTACCGTATGTCGTGTGTATGAACATCGCTTCGCGATCCCGCTCTTAATCGGTCAAAAGCGCAAACGCAGCATGGAGCGAGATTGTAAACCGCGAAATCGAATTAGCGAATATCGAGCGCTACGAACTCCCAGCGAATGCGTGCCTCGGAAAGAACTAAAAACGAAGAACAAAGAAGAGAAACGAAGAGGAAGAGAGAGAAGGAGATAGATAGAAGGGAAGAGAGGGAGAAAAATTAAAGCAAACACGATCTGGATGACATATTTTACGGGATCGTTCGCAATAGAAGTCGTAAAGTCGTAAGAGAAGTGACCAATCACGGTCGATTATTCTTCAACCGCAGGGAGAATAATCGACTGTGATTGATAGATTTTCTTACAATCTTACAACCTATGACTTTACAACTTCTACTGTAGACGATACAACTCGATGCCGTTGGCCGCACGTTAGTGTGACTGGCCGCTTCTCTCACTCTCGTGGCCTGAGCTGGGTTCTATCGCCGTTTTACAACTTTATTCAGTTCCGTGCGGTGGACACACACACACGGTTAAACGGATTTCGACAATTCATTTACCGTTTGATCTACCTGCGCATTTCAATTATATGTTTACTCTTTGTCGGCGGTGCTAGCCTTCCTATTGAACCGCGCGCGCGCACTTGTTCGCGGTAGCCGTATCGATGAGGGGGAGAGAGAATGTGAGAGAGAGAGAGAGAGAGAGAGAGAGAGCACAGGCGAAGTCGTGGGAACGGATGCGGTACGGTACAATTGAATTAATCTCGATCGAACAACGCGACCTCCGAAATGAAACGGGAAATCACGTTATCGCAGGTGGCGGCGTGCGAGCACGCGCCGCGAAACAAGCGGCTCTCATTAGTTGTTATTGTTCGATCGTGATTAGCAACAAAACGCCGCCGCTGAATATAGGCGCATTATGAAATTATATGCGTCTAGATGATTATAGTTATTCAAATGCTGATATTTTCTGAGTTATTCAATAGCTATTAGATGATTACAGTTATTCAAATGCTAATCGGTAAAGGAAGTGCGAGGAGAGGTCGGCTGCTGCGTGTGTGAACAATTTGTAATAATTGAAGAATATATTATATGTTATATTTCGCGTGTGTGCGTGTTCCTCTTGCGGCGTTTTGGCGGTTGCTCTAGGCGCGCACAAATCGAAAGTTCATGTGACTTCGGTCTATATTAATAGTCATAACTTGAAACTTAGATGAGATACTCAAATTTTTACTTAGAGTCGGGTTCTTCAGTTGAATTATGATAAGTGTGACGTTTATATTTCCAGTCGCGATTCAACTAAAAAATTCATCTAACTCTAAATTGAAATTTAAGTATCTCACTTGACGCGTTTAATAATAATACGGGCTTTCAGGATTTATACGTTTTTTATAACCACACATATACAATTACAATTCTTTTCTATATTATTCTTTACTGTCGAATATCGATAGAACTCTTCCAAATCTACTAATGATATTCCTTTTGGTCTAAGATAAGATAAGAGAAAGCAATTTCTTCGAGTTGCAGTGTGACAGAAATTTTTCGGAGACGACTCTGTCGTCCTGTAAAATATCGACAGGTGTAATTGAATCCAACAGACTTTTTATATCGCACGGTCCATGTTGAGGTGGAGGGCCAGGTTGCACTTTCTTTCGAGATTCATCCGTTCGGAGATTTGAATGAGGTTTGCCTGCTCAAGACGAAGAGCCTGTCTTAATTCCCGCAGCTTCCACCCCGCTTCAATCTGTTTCTCGGCTATTTGCTTCTGCAAGGCGGCGATCCGCCGGTTTAAAGCGTCGTAATCCGCCTTCAGCGGATCGCCGTGGTCCCAATTAATTGCTGGTCGATCATGGGCCGCAGGAGCATTGTCCTCTTGCACCATGCTCGAAGTCAACAGACAAATCTTGTCGTGCAGCTCGGCCAGTTGTGTGAGCGTCAGAGACTGCGGGTGAAGAAGTGCGAATATATACTTTGTGTTACATACCTGTGCACGAATCGTCAGCACGGTGAAAATCGCCACGAGGACGTGCACTCGCATCTGGCCGTGTCCTCTCGGCGAAATCGAGTCGCGAGATTCGATGGATGCAAGGAAAGGAAGCGGTGTTTCGTGCGGAACGAGCTCTCATCGACGCGCCTACCTTCAGCCAAGATTCAGGGTCAAAAGCTCCAAGCTCATCGCCATTATCCGCACCCTTAGCGACCTCAGCGACTTCTACGCCAAGCTCCTACAAACAATTCATTTCCAGAGAGTTCGAAATTTTCCGCGTTATTTCTCTTGATAAATTGTCAAACAAAGTGTGCCGATATATCGGACCGAACGCTAAAGCTCGCAACGTTGCGCTCTCACCGATAATTGTCTCGCGTAATTCTCATTGTCCGTCCTGCACTTGTCGAGCAGCTCCAGCAGCTTGTCGACGCAACGCAACTCCATTCCCGCCGAGTAGATACACTCGGACAGTCTACGTGATTCTTTTAATAACTCTACGATGGACGGCGCTATCCACCGGTCGATTTCGCCGAACTCATCGTCCAACGTGGTCGTCATTGAGGGTTTCGTTGATGTTCTACCGTCCACGAAGCGTATGTAATCGCGTAAACGTTGCACGGCTGTTTCACGAACAAATACGACTTGGAAATAAGACATGAGCTACACGGCGGTCCTCGTAAAGTATCACGGACTATACTTTCTCAGACACGCTGTAAACAATAGTGACGAAATAAATAGAGACTAGAATAATGGTGACTTTGTTTACACGGCAACGATAGAAATGGATTAGTTTTCCTTGGTATTTCTCGAAGTAAATAGCGACGAGAAAGAAAATAACTTTCTTTTTGTGCTCGATAACAATAGAAATAATTTTCTTTGGTGTTGCTCGTAAGTATTTCATTGGCATCGTGCTACAATCAATCTTTTCGGCGCTATTTTCGGCCGATAAGATTCAATATTTATACAATATTTATATTTATGTTCCGTCTTTCATTATGTCCCAAAAATAAATTTAATAATTTAATTTTATATTCGTTGCTCACGGACGATCGATAAGTTATCCGAGTGTTTAACTCATTAAAACATTAGCGACTAATTAGAAGTCATGAATAAGCATATTCCGCGCAGCGCGATAAAAAAAAGCTGCCGAGGTGTGGCGAAACAGACTGGTGGAGATTTTCCGCTAGTTTTACCGTCATATTGCTTTTCAATCTGTTTCCTTAGTAATTTATTCGCCTTAATGAACTCGCCGCATTCATCTGCTTCAGGCGCGCCGTTCACTGAAATATACAAGGATGTCCCTTTTTCAAACTTTTGAGTGCACGAAACGAGTTCAATGGCAGCAGAAGAGAAAGTCGCATATGAATAAAACGCATTACATGACTTAAAACGATTAAAGGATCCTGACAGGAATAAAAATTAAGTAAAATTTGGAAAGAGAGAGAAAGAATTGTAAAAAGTTGCAAATTAATAGGAGTATGAATTTTTTGGGTTAGCTGTCAGTTCGAGGAGGCTTTCCGCAAATTTCAAAACTATTTTTTATTTATTTATTTTACAAGCTCAAATTTTTCAGTGAGAAAATTAAATTTTTTTCATATATTTTATACTCTTATTTTATGAAATATTGTTTTTTTAAATCCATTTCTCGTAAATCGATAACTATAACTATAATGAATGAAAAATGTATTGGTACCGATTTCAAATTATTCCTGTTAAAGTCAGGATAATTACTGTTGAAGTATGATTTTTTTTGCAGAACAGAATTTAAACGAACACAGTGATGTTAAAATCTAATTTTTTTTTATAACAAAATATTGTTGATAGACGTAAAAAAAACATATTCCTGTTAATTTACAATTTTTTATAACTTCCCAAATTTTACTTTATTTTTATTCCTATCAGGATCCTGTAATCCCTTAAATCGCGTCCTGAACAGCTGCGCGACAGAAATAACGAATGTGTCTCATAAGCATTCCGTACAAATCGAAGAAAAGCTGTAAAAAGCTTACAAGGGGACGGTTTGCTTTCAGTCTGCAGTTTGTCAAGTTGTTCATTCAGAGCTCGATTCTCCTCTCGGCAGCGTTCCAATTCGGAACGCAGTTCCGCGTTTTCGATTTTCAGGACGTTATTTTCAAATCGCTCCTGGCGAAACGCCGCTTTTATTAATCTGTCCGGTTCGTCTCTCGGCTCGTCCAATTCGACTCTATATTCATCCCTTAATCTGTCACGTTCCTCACTCAACTTATCGTTCTCCGATTTCAATTGTACGATCTCGTCCTCCCGTAGATCATTCTCGGCCATGACTCTCTCCAAATCTGCCCGTAACTCCAACGCTAGGCTCTCCGAGGCGGCCAACTCGGCCTTTAGCCGCTCGTTGTCCGCTCGACATGCAGCGAAATCGTCTCGCGAATTAGCCAGAGCCTCCTTCAAGGCGTCCAGTTCTATCAGAACGGCGTCCCTCGCCGTTCTCTCCGCCTCTAGAGCCTCGATCGTGCCGACGAGTTGCGCCGGTACGTCGTCGGTATCTCTCGCAACCTTGGCAGCTCGAGCTCTCAAGTCGCTTCTCTCTTTCTCGAGCTGCTCCCTCTCGTCCGACAGACCGCCAAGCTGTTCCTCCAGGGACCTGATCTTCGTTGCCGCATCCCCGCGCATCCTCTTCAACTCGTCGATCTCTCCCTGCAGCATGCTGTTCTGATTCCTGGACTTATCGAGGTCATTCTCCACCACGGCTAAATCGGATCTGATGGTATCGAGTTCCGTCGTCATTTTGCTGTGCTCGATTCTCAAGACGGCCCCTTCGCTGTCTAGTGCGGCGAAGCGCTCATTCGCGTCGTTCAGTTCCCTCTTCCAAGTTTCGTTTTCCGCCCGCGTATTATCCAGTTCCGCCTTTAGCGCCTTTAATTCTCCGCTTAGAACGCCCGCCTGCCTCTCGGCAGCCTCCCTCGCGGCTTTGCTCGACGCAACTTCTTTACCTAACCCACTCACTTCCGCTCGTAAACCGTGTAACTCACTGAGAAGCGCTTCCTTCTCATCCAGCAAGGCGGCCGCCTGATCTTGCAACCTGCTCGCCGTGTTCTGCGCGTCGATCGATGCTACCCTTAAATCCTCCGCTTCCTTGTTCAGCTTGTCATACGCTAGTTTAAGCGCATCAAAATTTTCCTGCAGCTTTACCGAATCCACCCTCAATTTGTCGTTCTCGAATCGGCAAGCGGATAATTCCGACCGTATTGTCTCCGATAATGCCTGCGCAGCAGTCAAATTGGACTTGAGACTTTCGATTTCAACTTTCTGCCCGTCGCCCTGGCCTCTCAGCTGCTCCAACTCTTTCTCGAATCCGCGCCGGTCCTCCTTCAAACTCACATTCTCCAATTCTAGTCTGTCAATTTTGGACGACAGTTTGCCTGAATCGTCTTTCAATTTGTCATTCTCTTGGGTTAACATGTTTATTTTCGACTGCAGCGCGTCATTCTCCGCTCTCAAAATCGATATCTCCCTCCTCAGCTCCTCCAGCTCCTTCTTCAATGTTAACATTTCACGCGATGAACTTTCCTCTTTGCTTCTCATTCTATCGTTCTCCGCTCTTAATTTGACCAATTCACTCTTTAATGCCTCGACTTCCTCTCTCGATTTAACGATCTCGTCGCTGATCTTTTCTAATTTTAACGCCGTCTCTTCTTTCGCGGACTTTTCGACGAACGAAGCCTGCTTCAGTCCTTCCGCCTGATTTTTGAGCTCCGCGAGTTCTTCCTCCAGCTTAATCTTCTCATTTCTAAGATTAGCCATCTCCTTCTCTAACGCTTGTCGCTCGACCTATGCGAATTTCAAGGCGATTATTATCAGAGACTGAAAAGATTACAACTGTGCAACTAATTATCTCTACCTGACAGCTGCTTAAATCTTCTTTTGTCTTTTTATTCTCGGCGTGTGACTTATTTACTTCCACTTGGAGCTTCTGATTTTCCAACTTCCAATATTCGATACTCTCCTCCAGTTTGGACACTTGCGATCGCAAGTCAGAAATAGTTCGACCTAAGTCGTCGATCTCGCTCCTCATCTCAACATTCGTAGCTCTCAAGCTCGACGATTGCTCGCTCTGCATCGACAATTCATTCTTGAGAGCGTCCTTCTCTTCCCTCAGGTCATGATTCTGCGTTCTCAGCTCATCGATCTTCGAGATCAAATTTTTCATCTCGCTCTTCAGCGCCGCTAATTCCTCCTGAATGTTTCGTTTGGCGGTAGTTTCCGCGCTTAGATCCAGTTTCAGTTTGTCAATCTCGTTCTGCAACTCGCCTCTATCAATCTCCAAATTAGTCATCTGAGGCTCAAGGAACTTAACCCGATTCTCGGCGTCGCCGAGTTGTATTCTCAATCTGCTCACTTCGTCGACTGATAAGTCTATCTGTTTCTTCAATTTGTTCATCTGTTCTTTTAACCTATCATTCTCGTCTCTACGACTATCCGTCTCCGTCTTGATGGCCTCGTTTTCTATTTCTATTCGGTGAATATCCGCTCTCAGCTTTTCCTTAGTAACTACCGCCTCCCCAAGTTCATTATTTAACCTGGCTATTTCTTTCCGCGAATTTGCAACTTCGTTATTTGCTCTCGTCAGGTCCTCCCTCATATTATTTATTTCTCCTTTCAGAGCAGCTATTTCGGACGATAATTTCGTTACTTCTTCGTGCCCATCAGCCGCCTCTTGCAGCAATTTGCTGTTCTCCGATTTCAACTTCGCCATTTCGCTTTGAAGAGCACCAAAGTCCGTGGATAACTTGCTATTATTTACATTAGCCCTCTCCAATTCTTCCGTAAGAACTCTATTCTCGGCTTTAAACTTTTCCAATTGTATCTTCGCGTCATCTAACGCTACATTTGTTCTAGACAAATCGTCTTTAAGAGCACTCGCAGCGGCGGCACCTTCGTCCCTCAACCTTTCCGTCTCACCTAGCAGTCTATCAAGATCATTCTTTAATGCCGCCACTTCGCGCTCTAACTGACTCGTCTCCTCGGCTCGCTTCTCCAATTCCTCCTTTAAGTAACCGTTTTCAGATAATAAATCATCTTCCTTTGCCTTAATATCATTATACTCGTTCTTCGCAGACTTCAATTCCTTAATTATGTTATCAAGATTGTTTTTCAAGGCAACGTTTTCTTCCTTAAGTTCGTTACTTTCCGTTTTAGCATTTTCCAATGCCTTCCTCAAGAATTCATTCTCAGCCTCGAGACTATGCAAATCGTCTCTCGTGCCCCCCAGCTCTTTTTGCGCCACTTGAAATTTTTCTTCCAAGAGACGTAGTTCAACGTTCAACTTATCGATCTGGTTCTTCAGCTCGTTATTTCCCTCCTCCGCTCTCTTCAGTTCTTCGCGTGTTTTTCGGGCTGCCTCGTCTAATGATGCATTCTTAGCATTTAGCTGGTCGCGCTCGAGCTCCGTTGTTTCGAGGCGCTCCTTCAAAGATACGCTTTCGCGCCACAAGTAATCCACCTCTTCTCGCAAAGCGTCGTTCTCGCTCTTGCTGCGGTTTAATTCAGCCAGCTCGTCGATCATTCTCAGCTTGTCTTCCTGCAATCTGTCAAACTTTGCAGATAAGGCGGCGTAGTCCAAAGCTGCGCGTTCATTCTTCAATTTTAATCCCTTGTTGCGTTCCTCCGAGCTCTTCAGATCCGACTGGAAGTCTTCGATCGTGTCTTTTAATTCGTCGTTCTCAAGCTGCATCTCGTCCATCGCATCTCGAAGATTCGCATTATCACTTCGCAGTTGGTCCAATTCCGCCCTGCAACTCTCGAGATCATTCCGCACGTCGTCCAAGTCGCCTCTAAGTTTCTCGATCGTCGTGTTCGCAATGTTCAGTTCTTCCAAGTATCTCGCCTTTTCGCCGCTCAGGGTGTCTATTTCGGCCACTCGAGTCTGCAGACTGTCTTTCGTGTCTGTGAGTTCAACTGTAAGCGCTACCGAATTCTCCTTCAACTCTTGTATCCTGCTCAATAATTCGTCGTAATCGGCGCACTGCTTTCGCAGCTCGGCTATTCGGTCTCCGCTCTCGGCGAGCTGCTGCTCCGATCGTTCCGCGCGCACCTTTAGCTGTTCCACTTCGTTCTTGAGGATCGTTTCCTGCGCGACGAACGCTCCGACTTTAGCCTGCGCGACTGCCAATTTCTCGGCGCATTCGTGCTCGGCTCTCTCTTTTTGTTCCATCAAGGCGACGATCTGATCATTCCTCTCGGACACCACGTCCCGTATCTTTTCCAGTTCGTCGAGAAGCGTCATTCTCTCCGGATCCGGCTCTGTAACCTGCGGACAAACATGCACCTGTCGCGAATGCATCGTCAAGTCAGGCGAACGCAAACGTCCTGCCACGTGTTCGTCTCGCCTCTCAACGAAACGAAGAGTCCACGTCTCGGCATAAGACGCGTGCGTGATGTTTCACTTGTCGTGCGCCTTGGCGACTGCAAACAACTAGACGCAGAAGAAGAAGACAGAGAAGCAAAGCGTGATGCCTGATCTTCAGGAGTCTCATAGCTGACGACCGTTCGATCCGGGTCCAATTCCAATACCGGGGCGGAACGTTTCCATTCCTCCAGTTCGTTCTGCAGAACCTCCGCTTGGGCCGTTTTCTCGTTCAATTGCGCAGTTAATTCAGCCACGAGCGTCTCGCAGTGCTGGAGTCGATTCAGCAACGCCGACCTGTCGTCGAGCTCTTCCTCAACCGGCACCGGCACGACGGCGGCGACCTTGAACGAATGACGAATTCGCGTTAGCACGGTGCTAGCTCGCGAGAGAGCAGACGAGACAGTTCATTACCCGTGGTTCCTCGAGGCTCTTTGACACCGGCACCTGTTGATCGGTCTTCTGACCATCTTTCATTAATTCGCGAAGCTTCGCTCTCAAACGATTTAATGCCGCGCAGGAAGTATCCTCTTCGGCTTCCGCCAATTTCAGCCTCAGACACGATATCTCGGCTCGCATTCTGTCGCGAGGTCAACAGTTTGCGTGTAATTACATCGACGTGGTGCGACTTAATGAAGATAAATGGTCGCCGTAGAAATATCGAGAGCGAGAGCGAACTGTGATTGATGTCTCTTCGAAGGTGTATAACTTGGCGAGACGTATCAAACGGAAAACCCTCAGTCATCGCGCCAATTTCTTTTCTCGTGATTAATTCGATATTAATTTCATTTCCCTTTCTGCGCTTGCTGCTTGCGAATATATTCCCCCTTCTAATGAAGCTGATACAAAGATACGTATCGCGGTGTCCCGATACGAAACTGCACGATCAATCGACATTGTGTATATTTTACCGTTTTTTCTCGTCGGTAAAACGTTCTCTCAACGCCGCTATTCTCTCCCTCGCGTATTTAACTTCCCCGCATGGATCGTCGCAGCAATCTCGTTCAGCGAGGGTCTCCTCGAGGTCATGAACTTTTTCTGTCAGTTCCTCATTTGCATTCTGCAGCCTTTCGTTTTCCTCGCGGTAATGCACGTGCAAGGGATCAGGCGCCAATATCTCGTTAGGCTTCACACCTGCATAAACATTATTTGACTGCCCGAAACGTTCCGTCCCTAAAAGTATTGTAAGTTGAGTTTCCTCTCATATGTGCAACTGAAAGGAGAGCACACGTCTCTGTTTCAATTCACCGCGTATGCCAGAGTAATTGATAGGTAGAAGATATTTAAGAAATAACAGAGGAGAGAGAGATATTTAATAACTACTAACAACATACTTTACTTCCACTAATATAAAATATTCTTCAACTAAGAAAATATACTTCCTGAAAATATATCAGCGCTTTTCACGGAAGCAATTATTTATTCTACTTAATTAAAAGAATTCTACTTAAGAATTCTACTTAATTAAAAGAATTTAAATTTAAGTAGATATGTTATTAGTGTACCTACTGAATAAATTTTTCCAGATTTTTTAGATATTCTTTTCTCAGTGTTGCCACATTAAAGATGAAGGATATTGTAATTTTTATAATAATTACAATAGACTCGTTAAAAAAATATATTTATATGTTAAAAGACATGTGTATTGAAATATGAATATGTAAAGAAATATCATATATATTAAAGAAATGTCTCTATTTATCGATAGATGTCTACATGTCTCGAATAGTTCATTAAGCAACGATTAAGCAACGATACTTATCCGAATTATCTTCACCTTATTTTCTTACACACAGAATCACTCTACAAGCAGAATAGGACGCACGCAAAAAAAGAAGAGAAAAGGAAAAGCAGCACAACACAGAAGTGCCATTCGCGTAGCTCGAGCCAGTAAGGCGAGAACCAGGATAAAGAGCAAGTAGTAAAGAGCGGGAAGATTCGACTATGGAGTGGAGCATTGATACCGAACGATTGTAGGGCTTGTTTCAGAGACCTATTTTCGCTCTCGAGCTGCAGTCGTTCCATGCGCCACTTCTTCATCTGGCACTTCATTACCGTCAGCTTTCGCAGGGCGAATGGCAGATCGTACATCAGCCATTCTTTCGGATTGTCGCTGAAGGGATTGTAATGACAGCAACAGCACGGCTCGCACGGCGGCTCGGCCGGCTTCGTCGGCGCGGGTGCGTGGCATCCGCACGGACAAAACGACGGCGCGCATCGATCTTCCATGACCCGCTGCAATTTCGAGGAGCCGCTCGCAATCTCGTCACCGTTCTTCCTCGCACGGCGCGAATTTATTCCCGGGGCGTCCTCCTCCTCGTGCGCACACGAGGATCGACCTCACACAGAGACGCGTCGCATGGAAAATTTAGAGGTTACTCGGCTTAGTCGGCGGCACACTGTCCCCCGTCTCTCTCAACATTACCAGATCGGATGACGGATTACGAATTCAGGTTGTGACTTGTATAAATAACGTCGCCACACCAAAATATCCGCGACGCGAAAGGTCAAGGAGTTGAGCGGAAGCTCGCGAGACGTTAGTCTTCGCGGCCTTCGAAATTTACTCCAATAATGGGCGATTGTGTAGTAGCAGAAGGGATCGATAGCTCGAATTATTAATCGCTGTCGAGCCAACAGCAGTTTATTCTCAGGGAAAGCATAATGCTTTCGATGCGCCCGAGACACGCTGCGTTAAATAATAGAACGAATTTTTACGTACGCGTCGCCACCATCACATTCAAGCTTATATCGATAATTGCGATTATATTTGGAAAATCCCGCGTCCCGAAACTATCATCAGCGACGGCGACGGTGGCGGCGGCGGCGGCTTATGGCAGCTTCGGAGATGGAGACATTAGGACACGCGCATTATTCACCAACTTTCCCCTCACAAAGTTCGCGCGCCGGGAAACCGGAAGTGCCGGTTACGTACGACCCACATAATTAAGCGGTCGCTATAATTGAATCGCGCGCAGTATGCTCTCGGCGAGTCCTCGTTAGAACAGTCTTATTAGGTGTTCCGATATTGAGGGGCCGTGGCGCAGCGATACTGAACGCTTCTTAAGTTTCGAGAGTTTCGAGAGCACTTGGACCACGGTTCGGTTCCGCTGGAGAACTTATCGAGGGGCGGGAGGCACGGAGGGAGGGAGAGAGAGAGAGAGAGGAGGGCCCGTCATCAATTAAATCTGCGCGGTAATTGCAAAGGAGGGAGGAAAACACGGTGGCGCGCGGGTCCACGAACTTCGCCAGAACTTTGCACCCCTTTTTGCTTCGGCGCATGGGGCGTCCGCCGCACATTGCTCCGCGCAAAATCAGCGTTTCATCGTAATCGAATCGCCATGACGGAACAAGCGCGCCGAGCTTTCGTACATAATACGCAATAACAAGTAAATGCAGACTCGTGGCACACGTACATACGAGTAGACACGTTGAAAAGTTCAGGGCAAGAGTGTCACACCTGAAGGTGTCTCTTTGTGCACCGTTGACCCCGTGCGCTTCGCGCGTGCGCGAAAATCGATTGTTCTCGCGTCCAGACGCACTCTCGCTTCTCCGTGATGTTTCGACGTAGCGTGCGCGCAAAAATTCTCAAGTAACCGTAACCGGCGGAGTACTCGCAGAAGAGATGCGACATTTCGTCGAGCCCCACCACGTTGTTGTATTATGACACGTACGTTTTAGTGAAAACCGCTCATGAATATTTACGTGTAATATCCGTTGACATCGATATTTATGATTACACATGAGCGCGCATAGATACACACACACACATACACGTATGCATGCACGTACACGCTCAACGGGATATTCGTGAAAATTAATTAATAATGACGTAAATGAAACTTTATATGGAAACACTCTTTACCAGACCTCATGTGGATAATTTAATAAATATATTAAAAGTCGTCCTTGCACGCGCTGAAAATAAATTTTTCATGTTTATCAGATATCCATGTTTGGCGTAATTTGATTATCACATACGGGAAAAAGAAGTTTTGTTGGACTAACCAAATATCTGATGAAATATGAATTATATGCCGTTAACCAGAACTTGCAACTGTTTCAGTTTGAACAGTTCTAAGTTCTGGTCAACCACAGAAATCTTGTTTGGTTAACCGGAATCTTGTTAACTTGAACATAATTCTGATAACTTCTCTCTACCGGCATTTTGATCCGTTCATATTTTATCAGACAGTTGGTTAATCCAACCAAATTTCTTTGCCGTGTGCGTTTCGTTTCGCAAATATCACGCCGAAGAGTTGCAGAATCATCGAGTGAAGAAAGCAGGAGGGAATCTCGAACGCTAATTACGAAACAAAGATAACGTATCGTGCACTTCGCTCCGTTATCTACGTGTCTGGATTGCACGTGTATTTACACTTTATCATACGTCTCTGATGCTCAAATAACGCCCGGGATATTTCTCGCAGATTTAATATCGCCCCGGGAAAATTGAAGGAGCAGCAATGAGCGACCGATACTTGGACGATTGCCTGCCAGTGATCGCGATCGACATCGCCGTCGAGGAGAAGACCAGAGTCGCCGAGATGGCCGCGACGACCTTGCACAAGCTGCACAACGTGATACGGCAGATAAAGAACTGGCGGGACGACAGCGCGAAACTCAAGAGCAATATCTGGCGGATGAAAATGGCCCTTCGTGCGGATGACAAGAATGGAAACGATAACCAGGAGATCGACCCTTTGATCATGCATCAGAGAACGGAGATTAGTCGGCTGGAGCAGGCAAACGACGCTTTGGGGAACGAAGTAGCGAGTCTGAAGAGCGCTCTGACGCGAGCCGAGGAGGATATCGTGCGTATCACCGGCCACAGGGCGGGAGATGAAAGGGCAGAGGACGGATTCTCGAGCGACAAGAAGAGAGAGCAACGTTCGAATGAGACTGTGTGCCGGAAGCAGCACCCGCAGGAAGAGGCCGTAGAGAGCCATGAAACGCGCGTAGTGCTAAGACAACTCGGCGACAGACTGGAGGAGTTCGCGAGAGGCGATCGCGTGTTCGAGGTGATGCTCGTGAACGCGATCGGCAAAGTCGTCGAAACGGTGGTCCACCTGTCGGAGGAGCTGGTGAACGTCAACGAGGACCTGCACCGGTTCAAGACGAAAAACAGAAACCTACATCGCAAGCTGGATCGACTGAAAGCCATGCTGCGATCACGATGCGGCAATAGCGCTGAATATCGGAAGAGGATCGGCGAATTGAACAAGCTCGCGGAGCAATTGGCGGGGCAGATGGATCGATTAAGTGTCATCCGCGAGAACGCCACTTGCGAGGGAAGTTCGAACGCCGCGGACGTCCTGGAAGTAGTCACACACGTTGGGCGGCTGATGAACGACTTGAAGGACAATCTGAAGAGCGAGCGCGAGGCGATGATCGCCGCCGGCGATCCGGATCGCTTGAGATACATGAAGAAGGTGGTCGACCTCAAGGTGAGTCTGAGAGTGTTGGCTGCGGAACTCAGGCGATCGAATTCGTCGTCGTTATCGTCGATGCACAAGCGATCCCTTGGGGACGAGAGGTGCACGAGAACGACTTCGTTGTTGGACGATCTCTTGAAGGAGATCGACATCGAGATCGGCAAACTGAAGATAACGTCGATGGACAAGTATTACAGGATCGGCGGAGTCAGCGGCTCGCGATACACGACGAAAGTCGCGGAACTCGAGGACGCGGTCAGGAATTCGACCACGGTGATCGCCGCGTTGCGGCGACGCGGTGGAGCCACGAATGTCGATGGGAAGGCGACACAGGAACTCGGCGACTCGATCGAGCGACTGTGCCGCGAAATGAAGGAGCTCGAGGTCTTCGACGATCGCGCGAGCTTGCGCGAGCGAATCGGCCGCCTCGAGGTCTCGATCGTGCGTTTGAGGCTGCAACTAGCGGAGAAGAACGATCGCGTGAGTGCGCTGAGCGACGAGTGTGCGAGCCTTAGATCAACGTTGGAGAACGAGCGCAACAAGCATGAAGAGATCGCGGTCAACGTACGCCGCGAAAACGAGCGCCTTCGCGAGGACACGAACAGGTGGCGGCAAGAGATAGCGGAGCTGTCGCGCGAACGCGTGCACCTGGAGCAACGCGTCGTGGAGATGCGACCGATGACGGTTGAAATTGACGCACTGCGGAAAGAACTGCAGGAGCTGCGCGATGACAAAGAGACGCTATCAGGGGAGCTCGAGAGGATGTGCAATGACTTCCGCGAGCGAGACAAAGAAATTGCGAGTATTATCGCCGGGCGGGATTTGCTGAAGGCGGACCTCGGAGCCGAGGTAAAGGAGCTGAAGATGAAACTCGGAATGGCCTCCGACGAAAATGTAAAACTCAAAAGTATAATTGGCGGACTTGGGAAGCGGTGGCGACGGCGGGAGCGCCAGCGACTGGACAAATTGAAAAGTTCGGTGAGCAAAAGCGACGACGGGCGATGGTGGCGGCGGCGGCGGGACAATGGCGAGGGTTCGCGGGAGGACCCAAAGCTCAGGGACGAATTCGAGCGCTTAAAAGCCGAATCCAATGAGTCTAAAATAAGCTCGAACGAGGCGAACGGGCGAGCCGACCGATTGAAGCGCGCGCTGGACGAGGCGCTCGGTGACAGGGCGAAGCTGCAGACTGAAGTTTCCGATTTGAAGTCTAACGAGGAGTCGTTGACGTATCGATTGAACGCCCGGACGAGCGCCGGCGAGGAGGCGGCGAGAGAGTGCGAGAGGGTGACGGAGGTGAACAAAGCGTTAGAGAGCGAAGTCAAACACCTTCGAAACGAGAAAGAACAACTCGGCACGGAGTTGTCGGAGTTAAGGGCCGAGAAAGGATTGCTGGCGAGGTCGACGGACGATGCCAATAACAAGTGCGCCGTGTTGCAGGATCAAGTTAACAAATTTCGGGAGGAACGCGAGGCCGCCATGGAAAATCTGAAGTTCGAGCTGGAGAGGGCGCGGACGGAGCTCGAAGACGCAGCTGTCAAAGTGGCGCGCCTCAAAGCGGAGAACACGAGGCTCGCCAGCGACCTGGACGCTCTGTCCGCGGCGCAGAACGCAGAGACAGACGAACGCGTGCGAGTGTTGTTGGCAGGAAAGAACGAGCTGACGACGCGTATTAACGAGCTCGGCGATGAGAATGCCAGCCTGCGAGATCGGTTGAATAAGGCGAGAACGGAGAATGAATATTTTTCCATGGAATTGAATAAATCAAGAGTCGAAAGTGACAAAGTGGCGGCGAAAAACGCCCTGCTGCAGGTCACCTGCGACATAAGGGCGAGCGAGAACGAGGCGCTGAGGAGGGAACGGGACCAAGCGAGGCGACGACTTAATGAAACCGACGGTACCTTCGACGATCGACGGAAAATCCGGCGGGCCGAGGCGCCCCGGACCGCCGCCACGTTGCGCCGTGAAAGTAACGATCGCGTGAGTCACTCGAGGAGAATCGATACGCGATATCCGCTTACGAAGGGCCACGGATTCGCGGACGCTTATAACAAGGTACGAAGGCACAAGCAGGATTGTTCGAATGCCGCGCGAACGGGCATAAAGGTCGAAATTGGCGAACAGAAGGATGACGAAACGGCATTCAAAGCAGAATCTGATACATGCGCGAGCCCTGATAACAAAGCGAAGATCAAAGACGAGCCAAAGGGCGGACTGAAGAGGTCGAGAATCGAGAATAAGGCTTTGAAATCGGAACAGGCGAATTTGGGGCCCGAGAACGTCGAGGTTGCGATGGAATTGGCGTGCGCCGCGGACGAATCCGAAAGTCCAATATTACTGGCCACGGGAGAGCTCCGCGACGGCGAGGGAATCATCGACTTCGTTTCCAAGAGACGCGATCTCGCGAATATCTGCTACACGCGACGGATAAGTAATTACGCCAATCATTCTGGCAACTTCCAGACGCTCAGGGATAAGGGGAGGCTTCAGGTGTCCGATATCGATCAGCTCCAAGTCGAGAGTAGGGCGCTGAAGATGGAAGTAGACACTCTGCGTGGCGATCTCGACTTCAGCTTAACCGACTGCGGGAGAAGCAACTTGGCGATGGCGGAGATCCGCGCTTTGAAATCGGAGTTGATGAGTCTGAGGAACGAGAGAGCGACCTTGAGGTTGCGTCTCGAGGCGTTCGAGGAAGAATCCGACGAGCTGAAGTCCGAGAGGACAGCTTTGAAGGACGAGCTCGTCGCCTCGAGGAAATCGAACTTCGATCTTAGGCTCAAAGTGAACGATCTGCGAAGCGCCGTTGAAAAACTGAAGGGGACCAACGCGAAATTAGAGGATGGTCTGCGACACGCGTTGAAGGAAACGAGCGAGCACAACGTTACGTCCCACAACAGCTCGGCAGATATTTTCCAAAGCATCGCGGAGGAGAATTCACTGGCGATCGCGGAGCGACTGAGTCGACTCGAGTACGATCCCGCTAACAATTCTAGACTGGAAACTATTAAAGGGGATTTGCAACATGTAAAGACACAAAAATAGATAGCCGAGATACGCGAGAACGCGCGAGTTGATAAGGTGTACACGCATTGCAGCTTGTCGAATTGTATTCTAATCATATCTGCCTTATTAACATTTTAAGTACTGATGTCACCACATTAGCGTCACTGTAACTGCATTTCAATGTCTCGAGAAGATAGTTTGATTACTTGCTTCTCAAAATGGCGTATTTATGTGGTGAAGAAGACTCGTGTCGACGAAATGCAAGTGTCAGGCAAAACGTGCTCCAAGTTACTGTCTTTATCATCTTGTTCTATGATTATAATAAACTTTAGTGCTTGAAGTTTTTATTATTATAAGCGCTGTAATAAGAGTTAGTTTACAATCACAATAGCAACTTATTAAACGTAAAATACAAGTGTTAAAGTTTGTATTCTTTTTTAGAAGAGCGAAACCCATAAATAAATTGCTTTATAACCTCACAATATAATAATAACACAATATAAGGAATTACTGTGATTGATTCCGCCATTTTGAGGAAGCTGCAAGTTGAACCAATGAGAAAAGTTCCGAAGAATGACTAAACTCTAGAGACACTAACTGGTAGCAATACATATATATTGTTTGCATCAGAGATGCAAACGGCCTGTTATATTTTTTTTAAATTCTTTGATTAGTATAAAATAAACATACAAATATTTTAGTGTTGGCTCCTTGCTGTTTAATTTAGTACTAACTGTTCTCATAAATTTTGTTCCTTACGGCATTTATCGCTATTTTTTTTACATACACAATAAAAATCATCTCTTGTCGGTTCTTCATAAAAAGAGCCGACCCTTGATGAAAGTTACTCGCGCAACTATCCGGCTATACGTATAATGTTAACAGAGGATCACTCTCATAAATCTTGATCGAGAAAACAATCGGAAGACTCGTGTAAAGAACAGTTTGTCGTGTTCTCGAATAGCCCGCAAATACATTCTTATTACTTTGAACACGCTTTATCCGGCCCCTTCGCTGGCCGGGAGTTTGCATAAACGGCAATTCTTCTAAAATTCATGAAGGCAACTCGTATCCTCTTAGACGAACGCCAAGAATTGTTTTAAGGGGAACCGACAAAACCTCCTGGAAGCGCGCAGCTACTTCATCTTCAGCTTTTAGGATCGACGAGCAGTTAAAGCCAAACAGGACGCTGACAACGCCGGCGTGACGACGGTAAAGACGGCCCGGTATCGCTGGAGCGCGTAATAATGCATTAATCGCGGCGCGCATGTCTGGCCATTATCGCATACTTTACGACGGCGCCACCATCGAAAACCCTTGTCTGAGATTATTTCAGCAAAAAGCCGAAGCTCGCTTCTGCGAACATAGTTGTCGGCGCTCATCTATCATTCTCTCAAGTCGCCAGAGTGCGACATGGCACGCCGTAAATGAGTGGACAGTCTTCGAGAGCGAGCCCCTGCGCAATCATATCCTTCATCTCGGTCCCTTTAATCTTTAATCCGAATTCTTTAAGTTGGTTAATTAAATTCCAACTTCCCGCGAGGGAAATCGAGATCCTCCCTCCCTTTCTCCCTTTTATTCTGTCTTTCCAACAATTTTTGTTTTTTCTTTTTTGTTTTTTGTTTTTTGACCCAGCACATAAAGCACATTGCGCTCCTCCGGGGACAAACACCGGCCGACGTAACGGCCAACGTAACGCAATAAATTTTTTAAACGTCCCGGCGAACAATGTATTGCAATCTGTGCGTATTATCATACTTGATAATATTCTGTATTTTTTAGCAGGTTCGTTCGGCACAGCTGATATGTGTGTGTATGTATGTGTATATATGTACGTACATATATCTGTATACGCGTACGCTCCACGCGAGTACAATTGTTATTCGACTTTCAAACTCAAATGTCGAAATTTCATAAATTTCCCCGGCTGAATATTGCAGCTCTGTCTTTTGACGGAACGTCGTTGTAATCGCATGCACACACGCGATTTCTGAAAGTGATCTCTCGCGCGTAAAATGCCGTCACTTTTCGAATTCTTTCATCGCGGATTCTCATTTCTTCTTTTCTCTTCTTTTCATCGTCGTATGTGTATGTGTGTGTCCGAAAAAAATTCTGCACGTCGTACAGTCCGCACGGACGTTCGCGCGGCGTGAGAAATAAATAAATCTCGACGTGCGCGGTTACCGTCACCGGTGGGTTCTCGTCGAATTAGGTTGATCGATCACAGTCTCGCCGGTGCAGTCACAATATCCCGTTGCCTGCCTCTCGTTCTCGCGTTTCCCCGCACGCTCGCCATTCTCCTCGTCTTCCCGCCGGCTCCTCTTTGCCTAATGTGCACACGGTGACCTTACTCTATCGCGGATTAGGGAAGCGTATACCCAGCCAACACACACTTATCCCTGTGAAGAGGCAAACGGCCCACTAATTAGCAAAGGTCGAGACGACTGTGCTCGTAGTCGCGTACGTGCGTGTGCGCATAAGTGCACCAGGGGACATTCAAAGGACACAGCTTCAGACACTGGCGGATACGACGCCGAGCAACCGAACTTCCTACTCCGAAATCACATTAGACGATGAGGGTCTACCGTCAGGACATCTTATTGTCCTCTCGACGTCGTCCCGGGTGTGAATCGAGTATTGGAAACAGCGTGTCCGCAACGTTTACGGTTCGGGTCAATTATACGGAATTTCGATGGTGGTATGTAGAAGGTTGGGAGCGAAAGCTCGAGAGTCGAGTAGAGAGTGCGCGCGTAAAGCACTCTTCATCCGATGAAAAATTTCATCTTTTACTTTATCGGGCAAAACATTTTTCTCGCACATCCTCCAAACAGCGAATTCGTACTCACAAATTGACTCTGCCGATTCGGATTCCTTGCCCCGCCTTCCAATCGACAGCTTTCGTGTTTATTTTCCTGTTTTTTTGTTTATCGCGTAACATAAAAGTACCAATCCCCGAACACGTACCTAATCCTGGACATTCTTGTTGTTTTAGTTTCTCTCTCCCTCTCTGAGTACGAATATTAAAATTTTTAACGTAAAATATGTATGTGTATGCGCGCGCATACGCGTGTGTGTATACACAACGGTACTTCATGTAGAATGCAACTCTTCTTAATTAAAAGTGGATGAATATATATATTTAATATATACACATATAATATATATGCTGAAACTTTAAATATTCGCAATTAAAGACTAAAGTATTAAAAATTTCCAGAATTAGACACGCATCCGGATATTAATGCTTTTACTTTATTATCCGTAAAAGTTGCAACTGGATCAGTTTCAAAACAAGTAAAAATCGTGCAATCATCCTTATGGTTTTCGTCTGTCTCAAAACATGCGTTGCAATTTTTTTCTCGCTAGACAGCTCTTTATTTTCCTTCGCAGAGTTGTAATCAACTCGCACACATATCCTAATATATAATTCAACGAAACTGCGTGTTTTATCGAGGCTCCGAATTAACGAAATAGCCACCTATAAAATAAAATAATCCTGTTCGATGGCGCGGGATAGCGCCGAGTATTATCTCGTTTGATTAGATCGTTCAATATTTCCTCAATATTTTTTTTGTTTCATTCGGGAGAAATAACTGCGATAACGGCGCGCACGTAATCGTGACTCGTGCGGCTTTATGCTCGCCGCGTAATTTTTTACTGCAATACGCGCCTGGCATATGCGCGAAATGAAAGCGTGCATATTCGATATGACGGCTTGCCCGGATGTAAATTTTGTAATATTTTTCGTGATAAATCAACTGATCGCATCACACAGCGACCGTCACGTTTGTAAAAAAAAAATTGAATTATCGTAACGATAGACAATATACGATATCTTTTTGTTTTACGTTACCGTGTACTTTTTGTTTTGGGATTTCGCGCATGAGATCACGAGTCTCCATTTCGTATATTAGATATCGCGACATTATGGACTCGCACGTGAATAGTGCGTATGTACGAGTAATTTCAAAAAAATAAAAAATAAAAAGAGAGGAAGAGAGAGACGGCTTTCTCGCTCTCTAATCAAATTCAATTGGAACGTACGCTCGTGTTTCGCGTTTGATTCGCCGCCTGCTATACATTAAGTTAAAATCACACGATGCACAATTTCATGCCTTCTTACACGCATACCGACCGACAGTGCAATTCACTGCATGAATCGCTATCGTGCATTGGAAGATCTATATAGTGAACTGAGCTGCCAGTCAGCATACACTCAGCTGCAAAACGGTTTTCACACTTCTTTTCCAGTGAAGCTGTAGCGCTCAAGATTATCGTATTTGCGAACCACTATTGACCCATTTACGCAACGATTGGCTTTGTCTTTTGTTATCAAACAATTACTGCAAATTCGGCAGCAGTGTCTCGCAATTGTGACAACTTGAGCGCTGCACTTCACTGGAAAAAAGTGTGAAAACCGTTTTGCAACTGAGTGTACATGTCAGGCATGAAACAATCGTGCATCGTGCGTTTCTGACTTAAGGGAGAAGTAAGAAATATAGAGTGTCCCAGACTTCCTTTCGCAATTTTTGTGAGAACATAGAACGGATTGAGATGAACATAAAAGCCCGTTTTGCGACATTCGAAATAACAATTCAGATATTAATTTTAAAAGTTTGATGAATGATTACGCGCGACATGGCAGATTAGTTGTAATAAGAATGTGTGCTATTGTGCTGTTGTGTTTGTACGTTAAGTCAAATTGAACAAAAAGCTCTTTATTATTTTGCAAATAAGTAGATTTTTAGTTATTAATGAAAGAAAATTGTTACATGATTGTTACGTAATAATGCACAAATCTTCTTTAATTAATACCTAAAAATCTATGTGGTCATTTGCAATATGGTAGAGGATTTTTTGTTCAGTTCGACTTAATCTATAAGTACTATAGTAGACGACGTCACTATAATTCATCTACCATCGTGTGTGATCATTCACTAATCTTTTTGACTAATATCTCGAGATTTATTGCGAATATCGCAAAACTCTATGGGACTTTTATGTTCACCTTAATTTGTTCTCACAAAAATTGTGAAGAAGAATCTGAGACACTTTGTGTAAAAAAATGTCCAAACGCATACAACAAGAAGTAATAAAATGTTTTAAAAAATCGTGCGTTTTTGACTTAAGAGAGAGATAAGAAACATCGTTTCTCCACGCGATGAGTGTAATGTTGGCGATCACTGCACCGCATAGCCCGGTATCATCCTCGTCGTGAATGCAATGCGGCGAAACGCGCGAATAGAAAATGATCTCGCTTATCTGCCTCGCCGCCTTGAAGCGCAATAATGCGCGAGTATACTTTTCATTAGCACAAGCGCTAATGCAGCGTCATCCACTCTTAATTAAGAGCGTTGCATTCTGCACGGAAATACCGCTGCACACGATGCAGATGTTCAATGAACATTTTTTGAATAACCGTATCTCTCTCTTTCTCTGTAGAGAGATAATCGTGTCTGGATATTCGTTAATATAGTTCATTATTTTTCCCATACAAACGGCTGTTTTATATACAATTTAAATGCTGCGAATAAATCGTATCTAATGGAAATTCTGATGTCGCTTATTCTGGCGGGGTTGCATTTTCAACCGAAAATAATTGTTTCCAATTATCTATCAATTGACGTATCAATTAATACAAAGATCGTGTACCGACAAAGCCAGGCGGCAGGGGGAAAAGTATCGGTAACATTCACATAAAACGCTGTACTAATGGTTACAAAGTATTACAACAAATATGCAATACGCTTATAGTAACAGAATGTGTATACCATTTACTATGTTTAATATATTTTAATGCCATTCAATACGTTTAATAGGTTCATGTAAATGGAAGAACATAGTGGGAAGCTTATTCGGAACTGCATAGCGTTCCTAATTGAACGTGAAATGCAATATAATTAACACTCATCTCTATCCCCGCGAAAAGTATTCCCAATTTTATCGCAAATGTCGGAATGTCGCGAAACACGTAAGTTTTACTTTGAGCGTTTTGATACTTCGAAATTTTATCGCTCAATAACGCGTTCTTGGTTATTAATTTTCCATAAATGGTAAGTTTCAAAACGCACACATACTTTGCGAAAGACTATCGAGGCGTCAATTTATTGCAAATAACAAAGCAAAATGACGCCGGACCGCATCGCAGTTTGGACGCGCTGCGTTTTGTCACGCAGTCCACGTGCTGACCCACGATTAAACAGACTTTAATTGCACGGAATCGCCGTAATCATGGAATGCTGCTGCAAGCCCTTTTTCCTGCGGTCTTTTCCGTATCCGTACTCGACGTGCACGTCGATAAGCGTAACCGGTAAATGAAATCAACGACAGCACCAAGAGCAGTCGTTATTTCACGAAAGCCTCGTAAACACGATTACACGACTATTACGCGGCACTGATGAGAAGAATAAGAAATAATATTATCCGCTAATCGATTCTTACATTGGATGTCAAACCAGTAATTTCAATTATAATTTACGGTGAGAGATAAAAATGATGCCGAAAGCCAAATTCTCTGTCGATACGCTCGGCAGAAAGAGACAGACAGAGAGAGAGAAAGAGAGAGAGATATATATATATATATATATATATATATATATATATATATATATATATATATATATATATATATATATATATAATTGAAATAAATAATTGAATTTTATTCGAGGCACCTAGGATTTTATTTATACAAGATAATAAATTATGGTGATAATTAAATTTGGTTAAAGGCATTGTAATAATATAATAATTTATTAATATTTTTTATTGATTGTATTCTAATAATTAATAATATTTTAATTAATTAATAATTAATTAATAATATTTTTTAATTTTTATTTATTAATTAATACTTTGTATGCGCTTTGTGCAAATTTAGAAATCTATAGCCATGTCAGTCAATTCTCGTGGTTTAGAATAGCTGTAGGTAAAAACTCGTTTTAATAATTTTATATAGCTGCTGCTATAAAAAATATAATAAGCGATATAATAGCATGGTAAAAATATTCTCACGAAAAAGTCTAATCATCCTACGAAATCACCCTTACGAATATTATAAGAAAACTACTAAAAACAGTATTTTCGTCGATTAACGGAAATCTACTGTTTTAACTATAGAAAATTTATACTAAAATTATTTATAAAATTAACAAATAGATTTTTTATAGTTTTATAGTTTTCCAATAGTGTTGTAATAAGTATACAGTAGTATTTTTCAATAGTGTTTCAGTAGTTTTCCTATATTGTTCTCAGTCATTTTTTCTTATAGTTTTTTTTCCATAAGGACAGTGCTAAATGTAATATATTCATGTTATCCATCTGCGTATAAAAATAGAATAATAGAATAATAGAATAAAAATGCACAAGTGTGACAGATAATTAGAAGGAACTAATTTACATCAAAGGATATATCTTATCTCTTATTTTTCTAATTATGTTGACACTTACCGACGATAATAAATTGATAATTATGAAGTATACCGCCTCTTGCTCAAGAAATTGAGTTCGTTCTTACGAGGGATAAGAGACGTTTAGCGCTACAAGTGCTTCGGAGCGAAGGACAAACCAATCGTATTACTTTACACACACTTTGAAACATTTACAGTCGAACGGACACTGTCTTAAGAAACATAACCATTTATCTTCTTGACAAAGAAGTAAAGTGTAAAGGAAACGACATCTTACGGCACCCGACGCGCAATTAAAAAAGCGCGTTCACGCACGAGCTTTCAGCTTATGTGCAGGAGTCGTTGGTTCTCGTAAATGTAGGAGCCTGACTGGCTAACGCGTTACTTCTTAGATCTACCCTACAGTCCTATAATAAGAGACTACGTTCCGTTTCATGCATTATGCGCACATTTTCTACAGTATATGTAACATGAACTATGGATAAGTGCGCGTATTGCGTGACACAAAACGCAGCCAGAGAAGCGAAACCGGTAGCTGCCATTTTGTGATTGCTACTGTGTTCTCTGCGATATCGTGTTATTATACTGAATAACAATATTCTAAAAACATGAGGCTGCCTCTTATTTAATTTCTACACGAGAGAAGCAAGTAGATTCGGCGTTAATTAGGTACATATTCAAATGCACTCATGATTAAATAAATTTACGGAGCAAAATCCAAGCCTTGGGAGTTAAATATGGAATGAATTTTCGTACATAACCTATATAAATTGTTTCAATTTGAAATATGTTTATATTCTAAACATGCTTTCGAACAGACAAGCTTGATTGGTTTATACGGCATCGACAAAATGGCGTCGATTAATCAGACAGGACTCGCCACCGATTTCGCTTCTTTTATTATAGGACTCTAGTGCCTATTTTTTAAGCGGTAGAAAAAGCATGCAGGGAAATCTACTTCTTATAACTTGCGCAAAAACGCAACGACGTTTACCATTGCAAATGCTCCATTGATTCGCGCCTTGTTTCCTCTAGGATCGAGCAAATTCATCTAAGGTCTGTTTTCTAGTGCCGAACTGGCTGTATTAGTTCTCTTTCATCTTTTTTCCACCATATTTTATCTATGTATCTATTTCTTTTTAAAGACCCTTGCACGTAGAAAAATTTTAACCGTAACCGTAAGAAATTGACCAATCACCATCAAATATAAGAAAAATAATCGACTGTAATTGGTCAATTTCTTACGGCTTCAAACTTAAGTTTTATAGCTTAATGGCTCCTGTACACAGGATGCGATAATGCTTGTCGCGCGGCGGAAGTTCGCGCGACAGCCAATCAATATGCTGCTTTCCGTAATAACCTTCTAGCTCTTACGGAAAAACAACATATTGATTGGCTATCGCGCGGACTTCTGCCACGCGGCAAGCATTACCGCGTCCTGTGTGCAGGAGTCATAAGTTCTCATTGTAGACTCCGCTTTAAGCCCATGTCAAACTACGGATTGGAAATTGAGGATTGAAGATTAGAGGTTTGTTCGAGTTGTTCGTACTTTTCACACTTTTACACATAATGCTCGTTGCACACTAGTGCACCTCAAACAACACAAATTTTCCAAAATACATTCTGAAGACATTTTCAGGACGGAGAGACGTTATCAGAGTATTCTTAGAACGTTGGGATCTTGCTTGGGATCAAGTGTAAAAAGTGTATTAGAATTGCATTTACACTCGTAACACGAACGGAAATCATGACGTTATTTTTAGAACCTCTAAAGAATTAATGTGCACTAAGTGTAAAAAGTTCAATTAATACGAATAAACTTATTGGATATTAGCTATTTTCAAACAACTCATATCTTCAAAGGACGTCCTAACAATATTTTGATGACATCCCTCCGTCCTTCAAAGCATCTTCAGAACGTATTTTGGAAAATTTGTGTTGTATGAAGTGCACTAGTGTGCAACGGGCATTAGGTGTAAAAGTGTGAATAGTACAAGTAACTCGAATAAACCTTAGATTTCGACGAATCAATGTACTTTGGTCTTGGCCTGCTTGGCTCCAATTGGTCAAGTTCCAATTTTCAATCCGCAATCCTCTATCTCCAATCCGTAGTGTAACACGGATGTTCTTGTGTAGAGGTTCTAAGCCGTCTTAAGTTCATCTTTAAACGGTCTACGGATGATTTCATTAGCTACAAAGTATGTGAAGATAAACTTAAGACGGTTTTAAATATAAGATCTGACTATGAATACTAGCCATTCACCTGAAGATCGCCTTGGCTGCGTTCCAAAATTCACTGCTAGTACTGAAAATCTATAGTTCATGTTACGTATACTATATTTCTATACTGGATTTCAGCACTGGCGGTGAATTTCGGAACGCAGCCCTTTAGGTTTAGTTTCCACGAATGGCGCGTCGTCAGCAATGCAACCAACGTCACGGACGATATTTCGTCACGCGCCGTTGGCGACGCCAAGTGACGATCGAGTCGGGCAGAGCGTGCGTGTTCGCTTCATTCGTTCGACGACAATGGCGGCGGACCTCGATCAGTTCCAACAGCTCCTAAGTACACTCCTCAGCTCAGAAAACGAAGTCCGTGCGCGAGCGGAGGTACGTATAACGCCCACCGAGATATTGGCTGCTTAAGACCAGCGTCCACCGCGCGTTGGAGCACGCGGATATTCGCGGCGTACCGCGGCACGTTTCCGCCAAGAGCACGTTGCCGACGTGTTGTTAGCACCTGCGTGTGCCTGATTAATCGTCGTATAACGCGTGGGACATAGTCTCGCGCGTCGCGACCTTTTCACGTCGAGCCGGCGACAACGCGGCCATCAACTGCGACTGAATCTGTTCGGCCATGTACTCCTCCAGGATTTTCCGCGTGCTGACAAGTGTTCGTCAAAGAAATCCAAAATGGTGTCGCACGCGGATAGCGTGCGCGCGCGCGCTGCCCGTCAACTTGGCATGTCCGGCTGACGCGACGGATGGGCGGCTATTCTCTCGCATCTAGCACCTGTTTCGAGCGAGCCGCTCTTTTACGAGCTCAGGACCCTCCTCGGCGATCTGCATCCTCCTTCGCGAGGATGTCATGCTTGCGCGCGCGTGCGCACGCATCCCACGCGACCTGGCAGGATGCACAGCTTTGTGAACCTCGCTTTCCCGCCCACTCCCGCGATTTCCGGTAATAGCGTGGACGAACGAGCCGCACGTGCTAGCCCGTTGCGGCTAGTCTGACGGATGTGATCGCACGTTTACAGTGCGTTTCGCGCTTTGTTCGTTTTTACCGTTATTTTTACAACTCCACCATACATATATGTATATATACACGCACGTGTATATGTATGTATATATATATATATGTTTTACCTTGACTCTTGCACGGCCGGATCACGTGTCGATTGAATATTCATGCGTGCTCCGCTTGTCATATGTATATTCGCGATTAAATAAGTCTGATGTCGCGTTCGGCAAATTTAGTTTTGGAATAGCGTTTGATTTTGGCATCTACATGTGTGCGTCGGTTGCGTGTAATTTTTCACATTAAATAATTTTCCTGTTTATGGCCTGTTACAGAATTGTATTATCAATATGTAATTAATTTTGCATCATGTTTAAAATTGTTTAAGAAATAAATACTATGTCCATTTGCAATTACAAGTATAGTATAAGTATTTCTTAAATAAGAGATTATTTGTTGTTATATTTGTCAAAGAGAATTGTTTCTAGGACAAGGGAGCAAGTGTTATTATTTACTTAAATTTTTATTTTATTTGTTTTTTTTTGTTGTATTTTCTTTTATTAAAATCCTAGATAACTAATAATATTGTAATGTTTGAAACCATTTAGGAAACATACAATAATCTTTCATTGGAGAGCAAGGTGACATATCTTTTAAGTACTGTTTGCAATGGCACACTTTTGGATGAAATGCGATCTATGGCTGCAGTACTACTGCGCCGACTGTTTTCCTCAGAATTCATGGAGTTCTTCCCTAAGGTAATTATTTTAACTTCCCTTTTTCTTATTTTTATATATTAGTACACACATTTATATAATATATACTTTGTACTGATATTAATTTATCTATTTCTTAAGAATTTATCAGAGACTTGATTTAAAGATATCTAACTACACTGTAATTAACCAAAGGTTAATTATAAATAAACTTGATATGCAATTAATCAGATTCCATCGGAAGCCCAAGCCCAGCTGAAAGAACAGATTTTGTTATCTGTTCAAAATGAACAGAAAGAAGCCATACGTCGTAAAGTCTGCGATGTTGCAGCTGAGGTTGCCAGGAATCTAATAGATGAAGATGGCAATAATCAGTGGCCAGAATTTCTTCAGTTCTTATTTCAATGTGCAAATAGTCCATCATCTGAATTGAAAGAAAGTGCACTTCGTATGTTCACGTGAGTTTCCTATAGATTTATATCTTTGTATAAAAGTGACATATATGTGTATCTGTGCTAAGAAATAAAAATAATGGTATGTACAATACACAGGTCCGTCCCAGGAGTATTTGGAAATCAACAAGCAAATTATCTTGATCTTATAAAACAAATGCTGCAACAAGCTGTTGTGGATATGACAAATTATGAGGTAATACACGTTTCATATATAATTTTACTAATAGTTTAATGGGAGATAGATACTCAAGTTTCAATAAGTTAAGATCACTTGACATGATTCTTCCCAAGAACAATGGAAAGTGCCTTCTGATGACTGTAACTTGTTAAGCATTAATTTACAGACAGATACGGGGCATACATTTCACATGAAAAAGTTATATTTTATACTAATATAAAATATAACTAAAATAAGCTTTTTCTGTTTTTAATTATGAAAAATTTGATATTAAAGAAAGGATTATTGTAATAGTCTTCATTATTCTTATTACACAGGTCCGATTTCAAGCAGTACGAGCAATTGGAGCATTTATAATATTACATGACAAAGAAGATAATATACACAAACATTTCTCAGAGCTAGTTCCTGCACTTGTACAAGTAACCGCTCAATCTATAGAAAAACAAGATGATGATGCTCTTTTAAAAGTGCTAATAGATCTTGCTGAAGCTACACCAAAATTCCTCAGGGGACAGTTAGATAATATAATGCAATTGTGTATGAACATAATTTCCAATCAGGACATGACAGACTCCTGGAGACAATTGGCATTGGAAGTTATAGTATCAATGTCAGAAAATGCTCCTGCTATGGTACGCAAAGCTGGTGCGAAATACATAGTAGCTCTGGTGCCATTGGTATTGAAAATGATGACTGATTTAGAAGAGGATGAAAAGTGGAGTTTCTCCGATGAAATTATTGAAGATGATAGCGATAGCAACAATGTAGTGGCTGAAAGTGCCCTAGATAGATTGGCGTGCGGTCTCGGCGGTAAAACAATTTTACCGTTAATTGTGCAAAATATCCCTACAATGTTAAGTAACACTGATTGGAAATACAGGTGAATATTATAAAATTTACATATATATATATATATATATATATAATCTACATATAATTATATACATATATGTAATACAATCCACACATAATCTTATCTATATTCAACACTTAACATTTACTTAAATATGTATTATCTATCACATAAAAGCATATTTTTATAAAATGTCACAGAAAAGTCAGCAGTTACATATTCTTGTGTACGTAATTGCGTTACATCTGTGATAGAGTAACCAACGTGATAGTGCTCTTTTTCAGCTGCCGTTTTGGTAGTTGATATTTGAGATTCTCGTTGGGTGTCTAAACTAATAGTTCGCAGTTATTATATGTAACTGCTATAGTTTTGAAACATACAACTTTTCTTTGATATTATATAGTTTATTTTTTATTATAGTATTATAGTGTGTAGTATTACAAATTTATTTTTTATTTTGATGTGGTATTTCACCTACTATATATATGATTACATAAAATCCAAAAAAGAAAGGAAAAGAATGAAAATATTTTTCTTTTTTTATTTAGACATGCAGCGCTTATGGCTATTTCAGCTATTGGTGAGGGATGCCATAAGCAAATGGAAGCTATTTTACCACAAATAATGGATGGTGTCATACAATATCTGCAGGATCCAGTAAGTATAATGGACAAATTTACTTTTTGTCATACGATCTGTTTTTTCTCAGATCATGTATCTTAATAATAATAATGTAATTTATTAAGCTAATCCACAAATCAAGTCAGCAATCACATTTGGTATATGAATATGATAGTGTTACATTTGTGGTAAATTAAACAGAGGATACAGATTTTTGCTGTATTATCGTTTTGATAATGCAGATACTAAGATCTATCCTTTGTGGTTCCTGAGAGTTGATTGTTTACTATTAAACAATCGTAGTTTTGGAACATACAAAATTTCCGTTTAATTATTATTTCTATATAATTGTGAAAGAGTTGAAAAAAATATAACGTTGAACGTTGTTTTCTAGCATCCCCGTGTAAGATATGCCGCTTGCAACGCAGTAGGACAAATGTCTACAGATTTTTCGCCTACATTTGAAAAGAAATTCCACGACAAAGTTATACCCGGATTATTGATGGTGTTGGACGATAATGCGAATCCTCGAGTTCAAGCGCACGCCGGTGCTGCTCTAGTAAACTTTAGTGAGGATTGTCCGAAAAATATTCTAACACCATATCTCGATGCCATAATGGCCAAGCTTGGATCTATACTAACTAATAAGTTTCATGAATTGGTTCAAAAGGGAAACAAGCTTGTACTTGAACAAGTAAGATATTTGATTATAACAAATCGTAAAATATAAATGATACATTTACAGTATAAAGGTAATAAATAAATCTCTTGTCATTTTGTGTAGGTTGTTACAACAATCGCTTCTGTTGCTGATACTTGCGAAGAACAATTTGTCACCTATTACGATAGACTAATGCCTTGTTTGAAGTATATCATCCAAAATGCAAACCAACCTGAACACAAAATGCTACGTGGCAAAACTATTGAATGTGTCAGTTTGATAGGTCTTGCTGTTGGTTCAGATAAGGTAATTAATTATTTCAATTCTGATTTTCTGAATGAGAAAAATTTATAGTGATTAATTGTTTTGTTCGATATCCACAGTTTATTGCAGATGCTAGCGAAGTTATGGATATGTTACTCAAAACACATGCAGAAGGTAATCTACCAGATGATGATCCACAAACCAGTTATCTTATATCGGCTTGGGCCAGAATCTGCAAAATACTTGGTAAGACATTGCACGTATATACATAATCCTAAAATGCCGAAAGTTATGCCCGTGTATTTACAAGTATCTGCCCATCATCATGCAATATGTTGCAAGCATTTGTATATATGTTTCTTTAAAGGAAAACAATTCGAACAGTACTTACCATTAGTAATGGGACCGGTCTTACGAACGGCTGCTATGAAACCGGAAGTTGCATTATTGGATAACGAAGATTTGGAAACTATCGAAGGTGATCTCGACTGGCAGTTTGTTTCATTAGGAGAACAACAAAATTTTGGAATTAAAACTGCTGGTTTGGAGGACAAGGCTTCTGCATGTGAAATGCTGGTTTGTTACGCGCGAGAATTAAAGGAAGGTTTCGCTGGTTATGCCGAAGAGGTAGTACGATTGATGGTCCCGATGTTGAAGTTTTATTTTCACGACGGTGTGAGAACTGCGGCTGCGATAAGTTTGCCATATCTTCTCGACTGCGCTAAGATAAAAGGTTATTATAAAAAAGAATATTTATTGTTGCTGATGATAAATCTTGCTGAAGCCACGCTAAAATATGCAAGATTTTTATATTTTACGAAACTTTTAAATTGTACATTAACACGTATATACTAACCTTTTAAGGCTCACAATACGTAGAAGGCATGTGGGCGTATATTTGTCCGGATCTTTTGAAAGCTATTGATACAGAACCGGAATCTGATGTGTTGATGGAGCTATTGTACTCTTTCGCAAAATGTATCGAGACATTAGGTGCAGGTTGCTTAAGTGCTCCACATATGACTGAACTTCTAAGAATTTTAGATAAATTACTCAATGAACACTTCGAAAAAGCAGTCGCTAGGTTGGAGAAACGAAAGGACGAAGATTATGACGAGGTATTGCAAAAATCCATATGTTTATGAATTTATATGTCACATTTATATTTAAACATGTATATTCACGCGCGCGCGCGTGTGTGTGTGTGTGTGTACAAACACGTTATATATTTTTTATATATATTTTATATATATTTTATATATTGTGTAATACATATTTTCATATTATATATAGGTTGTTGAGGAACAACTTGCTGATGAAAACAATGAGGATGTATATACCCTCAGCAAAATTGCCGATATTTTGCACGCCTTGTTCTCAACTTACAAATCCTCATTCTTCCCATACTTTGATCAGATATATGGACATTTCGTAAAGTTACTGAATCCCGAAAGATCGTGGTCGGATCACCAATGGGCTTTGTGCGTTTTTGATGATGTAATAGAATTCGGAGGACCTGAATGTGCAAAATATCAAGAATTCTTCCTGCAACCCATGATCCAATATGTTTCTGACAAATCTGCTGAAGTTCGACAGGCAGCTGCTTATGGTTGTGGAGTTTTAGGCCAATTTGGCGGAGAAAGCTTTGCCCAAGCCTGTGCGGAAGCTTTACCGAAGTTAATAGAAGTTATTAATGATCCAGAGTCAAGATCATCAGAGAATGTAAATCCTACAGAAAATGCTATTTCAGCAGTAACTAAAATTCTTAAGTATAATAACAAGGCAATCAATGTCGATGAAATTCTTCCACACTGGTGAGTTGTAATACTCCGCGTCTAGTAATACTAATCTTCAATAAGCTGCATAAATATAAGAATCGTTCATCGAACAATTTCGGCCGTGTAGGCTATCTTGGCTGCCAGTTGTCGAAGATGAAGATGAGGCACCACACGTATACGGATATTTATGTGATTTGATAGAAGCGCATCATGCAGTAGTCCTAGGAACCAATAACTCGCACTTACCGCGACTTATAAGTTTCTTTGCTGAAGCACTGTTTAGAGATGCTGTACCTAGCGATCATCCTGTTATGTCCAGAATTCTTAGTATTGTTAGAGAAATACAGGTAAATTGACAATTTATATTTATATGTGTAATTTCCGGGAAGGGGTGGAATAAGGTGACTAATAATTCCATATCTATTTCCAGAACAACGAGACTATATTCCAGGCAACCATAATGGAATTAACGACAGATCAACAACAAGCCCTTCATGAGGCACTCAGTGCGCTAAGTTGAATTTCTAACATCTTAACGTAAAAAAAAATAAAATACGTTAATCTATCTTCTAGGAAATCTCTTATGAAGATTCTAGGTAGTTAGATTATACCTAAAACTGAAATGTTCGCTCCAGCCTAGCTACACATACACACATGCAGATACATATATACATATATATAAAAATTTTACGTGTTTATGTATTATTATTATTATTCACGGACTTGTTGAGTATATCTTTCTGCATCGCTGTCTGAATTGAAAATAATCGATTTCTACTATCAGGGATTGTTGCTAACTTACGTTTTAGCTAAATTTACGTTTATATCACTGATTAATGCAATGGAGTTGAGACGTAAAAAATTTAATTACAAATGAGAGCTCGCATTGACGAAAATAATTTATACCTTCGTTGAAATGTTTTAAACCAAACATTTGTTTACGTGATATATATATAATACGTTTTACACTATGTTTTGCATCACTTGATTGACAGCATTTGTGAAAAAAAGATTTGCGAATGATTTACATGAAATTTCCAAGTGATAATATTTCACGTCACTGAAAGCCAAATGATGCTAAAAATTTTAAGAGAGGAAGTTTTGTAAATTACATAATGATGAACATATTGAATATAACTTTATTATCGAAATATTGTTTAAAAAATTATGATTTTGTCACTGCGACCTCCTTAAATTGTATCTATATTCTCAAGCTGTATTCCTTATTTTGGCAGAATGATAAAACTAATACAAGACAGACTGGAAAGCCAGCTTTTCGTAGCCATGAAGTGACCGCGCGTGACACGTTGTGATTTAGGTATTTTTATTATTATAAATTTAGGTAATCATGAATGTTATTTAATGATAATGTCGATAATATTACAATGTTGAACGTTAAATGCGAGTGTATACGAATGCCTTTTGAATGAAACGTAATGTGAAATGCTTGGTAAATTTTAGATTCGGAGTCACAAATTTGTAAGATGTGTACATAAATACACATTCTTTATACAATTAAAAAATAAGGAATGCATGTCCAAGTACAGCAAAAGATCTTGTGATCTTGTAGCTAATTTACATTGAATTATTGCGTATTTCTAGCTGTAACTTGTCCATGTCATGTACACGCAATGTTATCTGAGAATATAAAAGTAACGAAAAATATACATGCAACAGACAGAAAACACACACAAATTGAGTCAATAGTATAGAACGGACAATACTATACATTACGTTTCCTTCGACATGCGACACGATGAAAATCGAGAAAACACTAATATTTAACGAAAAGGACTGAGTGGAATGATGTTTAAACAACTCCTCGTTCTTGTTGCTATTTATTTATACACAATAAGTCCTTAATATGCCTCTGATACGACTGCATTACAAAAAAAAATTTCCTATATAAAATTTACCCATAGTATAGATTTTCAGAGAATGAGAATAAAAGAGGGAGAGAAAGTGGCTACATTTAACATAAATGCTCTAAGTGATGATCTTTTTTTACTGAAACGTGTAGAGAAATAAAGATAAAGAATAAAACATTTATTTGTACATACATCAAAATATATAAATATGGAACAAGTATACATATATACATAACTACATATATATATATATATATAGAATTGAAGTACACTTGTAAGTAATCTTGACATATGGCAGGCACTGCCCTTGACAATTGTTTCGCAAAAAAATCAACATCACACTCTTGCAAAATGCGTGTATACTTACAGTATATATTTAAATTGCAAATCTTGTTTACCTACCAAGATTAATGATAGACTGTACGGTACACATTTGAAAAGGATAAAATCCGTGTGAAAGAGAATTATAATTATATAGAGATTATTTTAAAGTTATCATTAATTAAAATAAATATCAGCTTTGTAATTGATGATTTTGCTTCACCTCTACATTCTTGACATTTTATTTCAATACGAAGGAAATGTGCGCGTAAAAACTACTTTCGTATGATAGAATATATGTGATATGTACTATTCGTGCACTCTTGAAAGTTATCGATTATAATTATAATAATGTTCGTGTGATTTTTGTTTTATAGCTATTGTTCTTGAAATAGTTGTCTCAAGAATGGCAATAATCGACGTCTGTAAGTATCCTCTGTGTCACTTGTGTAAATCAATATATCATAAGAAATGCACATCAGCTATTCTTTGAGATGTAATTGAAACTGATAATAATGTGATGTATCGTATTGCTGTCGAGTATTGCATTCCTGCATCATATCAGTTTATTGATTACTGCGTTATCATACACCACTATCAAGGACAAAACACCTGATAATCAGCACGTATTAACGCAAAGTACGCATTACTGTATTAAAAACTGAGTAAATGCCTACAGAGTGTTGAAGTGTTTGATGGTGCTGTGCAGCATGATTATTTCATATTTTTTTGCTATCATCGGAAGCAGTTCGTATTCCGAATACATTGCGTAAAAACTCATAGATCAATGTAAACAGATACGCTATGAATATTTATTTTACTATATCGAGTTTTCAATGTAATTCATTGCAGTATCTACATATCATTCTTTAATTACATAATCTAACAGGAGAAATAGCATCAGTAGCTTTATAAATTCGAGACAAAAATGAATCTTCAATTTGCCTACCAAAACTGCCACCTCGATAAGAAAAGCATTTGCGACTATTAAGCGGGGAGCACAGACTTTTGCAAAACATATAATAAAAAGAACCAATGGAAGTTCTTTGTCTCCATTATGGAGGTAGAAATGAAGAACTTTGATTGGTTCATTTCTTTGCGCGTTATGCAGAAGTCTATGTTCTCGCTCTTAATTTGTTCAGAGTAGTCTACTCGGTCTCGACGAAACTTCTGCACTAGTGCAATAAATTAGAATGAAAGAATATACTTGCTTCACTCTAACTTTACTACTCTGGGTTGCGTTCCAAAACGTCCTTTTTTAAGAAATTTTACTCAATACTCTATAGTATATGTAACGTGAACTATAGGTATTGAATAAAATTTTCCTCAAAAAGAACATTTTGAAAAGCAACCCTAGTGTACAGAAGTTCTTCGAAAACAAGCTGACCTCGGTCTATACGCGTGATGATTACATTCGCACTTCGTTATATCTAACTTCGTAATGTATAACTGTACTCGCCCGCCATACCACGGACGCGTTCGAGGAATACGGTATCAGGGCTATTTAGCGCTAACGCGTCGTTCTATCTTTGTTGTATATCTAAAGAACAGCAAAGATAGAATGACGCATTGATGGCACGTTACTCGAATGTATTCTATATACAACATTAAAGATGTATCTGAGCTATATAAAAATAGTACCAATTTGTGATAAAACTTTGGGTAACTTTTTCTTAATTATCTATAATATACTGAAAAAAATTTCAAGTCTATTCACTAAACCATTGAAGAGTAATTATTATGTTAATTTTACACGTGTTCTTATGGCAAAAGCAACTTTCCTGAATGTAATGAATAAAAACGTATAAATAGTACAAAAAATTTAAGTATACTTATACATATAGATCCTGAATTATCGGAACTATTTGCAGAATTTGATTAGTTTTCACAACACGGTTTCAAAGAAATTAATTTTTATTTGTGACAATTTTGCGATTGTCGTAAGGAGTTAGTAACTGGACTGTGGAAATGCAATGTGCAATGTGCAATCAGCTGGTGTATCAAACGAATAACCTATAAATTAGTATAATAAAGTTACGTCATAAATTCTTGTTTTGTCTGCATTGTTTCATGTAAAAGACAAGAATACAAATTAAATAATTTCGATAAACAATAGGATAAGTGTTAAATTTGAGGCTTTTATTGTTTCATCTAACCTGCCTGCACAGTGCATTACTGTCAACCTACAAGCCACAAACTATATGGTACGCTGCTGCTACGTTTAACTTTTTTTATTAAATATTTATAATAACAACAAATAATATTGATAGTTATTGTTCAGACAATGCAAATTTACCTATTTTAACTTATCCCAATTACTTTTTCTCTTTTGCACTGATAGATATTGATGTTAAATAAATACGAAATTTAATGTTCTAAAGTTGAATTTAGGGCATTTTCCCTGTCAAAAGTTTTATTATAGAAAGATGAAAAAAGCAAATAAAAGTAATAAACTGTTGAGAAAGTAAAAAATAACTTTTTAAATAAGAAAAATATATAAATTAAATAAGAAGATCATGTTAGCCACTATTTGTATTACTTATCACTAGATTTACACACGTTTGAAGCAGATATTCAAATTTTTCGTTTTTTAAGCACTTTTGTCACCGATTGTATCTCAAATACATCCTTAAGAATCAGATTAGCAATTGATATTTAGTAGATCTGTTCTTTTTCGCTGCACTACTACACTAGTGTAACAAGCAAAAGTGAGAAAACATATGTGTCTCGCTTTAACTTATTGCACCAGTTCAGCAGTGCAGCGAAAAAGAACAGGCCTAGTGTTTAACCAATTAGAATCAACACGATCAGTTTTGCTTTAAGACCCAGGGGCTTGATTCTTGACGGTATGCGAATGAGATACGCATGCGAAAATGTATAGTTCACGTTACGTATACTGTAGATTTTCGCATGCGTATCTCATTCGCACACTGTCAAGAATCGAGCCCCAGTTTCACAATCTCGTTAATTGGCTGGTTATTCCATTGGACTTGACCAATCACACTTGATATTAAGAACAGTTAATCAGAATTACCAATCATTATTGGAATTTAACCGGTAGTTAAAATTAAAAAGATGTTGTGGAACTTGACCTATTTGGTTGAAAACTAATCGTCAATCGCTAGTTTGACTCGAACTTTACGTTAATGAGATGTCGTCGAGCAGGAGCTTCTCGAAAAGCTTCGCGGTAGAAATTCCTTAGCGCATACGCAACACCTTGCACTGTGCGTTAACCTCTTTCGCACATAGATGCACACGCGCTGGTAGGTGCAAAACAACGCTTATGTACATGACGCCGGTGATCATCCGATATTACGTCATCACTCGCCCCTCCGCCACGTGTCGCCAGACAGCTACCGCCTCGCTCTGGCTCGCAATGTGCGGTATCGCGCTGCGACGCGACCCTAACGTGCATCACACGCGCAGTGACTCTCGACGGGTTTCATGTATCCCCGACGATCAGTGACGATCGAGTGTATCGAAAATCGCACGTCAATATAAAAAAAATCGTCGTATTTGCCGGCCGGCCGCTTGAATCTGTCACGAAATACGCGAGTCGTTGCGAGGTCGCGCCGATACAAATACCCGGTGCTTCGAAAATAATCGCGTCGCCACCTGAGGCCCCAGACGCCCGGGAAATTTCGAAGGGTGAGTTAGTGCGTGTGTGTTGCATGGCTGCGTTATTTCAAGTGTTCTCGGTCACTCACGACGTCTCGTGTATTGGAACCGTATGTTCGCGTCGCGAGGTAACCGGGTTGCCCACAGACCTGCGTGATGCTCGAGGTAGATTCGCTTTTGAACAACGCGAAGTGCAAAGAAACTCTGTGTGCGTACGCGGAGCGAGTAATGCAATCTTTTAGGATATGGCAATGTGTCATTTTTTACTCGTGACATACATCACAAGGATAGATAGAAATCTTATCTCGCGCTGTGAAATTAATGCTCTACAACAAAGTGATCGGTGTTAAACAGAGCGTAACGTTCGTCGCGGAACCGTAGTTGTCAGCAGGACAACTGAGTGCGCCGATAACGCACTTCCGCGACGTTATGTAGAAATATAATGGGGTTGGTGCGACGAGAGGGCGGGAGAGGAAGCGCCCCGATGAGATGGTGTCGAGCGCGACGCGTTAAAAAAGAATTTATGTCGCGCACTCTCTTTGTGTAAAAATAAGTCACATCATAGAATGTCATGATGTTGTTTTCGAGGCGTGTTGACAAACTTTCGCAAAACTCTGTCGGTATTTTATCTGCTCTTCTGCTTGTGAGCAGGGTTAGGTACGTTGGGAACGGCACCGGTGCGATGATTCTCGTTAGGGTTCGACCGTAGGTGGTGGAAACGCTGCTCGCGCAACGGAATTTATACGGCGCGCAGGAACGCTCTACCAAGCGTCTGCTGGGTCAGCTGTTTCTAGCATTAGCCGTTAGTGCGGTCCACGTCTAACTCTCGTGGTTAGCACACGATCACACGATACTAAAAACCGAAGTGAAACGCATATCTCTGTACAGCATCGACGGGGGAGAACGTGGTCGTGCGGTCGAATTCGTCGTCTGGTGTCGTAATCCGCCGATTCCTCGTTTAAACGGATTCCCGGTTCCGCGGTATCGCCGTGTCTTGCGCGAGAACGTTTCCGCGTTCTGAGCAATTCGAGATTCATCACACGATGAAAATTAGGCCATGCGAATCTCGACCTTGCAAAGTCGCAGTTTTTCTCTTCTAACCGTTTTTCGCACGTACGTCACGTGTAACGGAACGCTCGCATAACGGACGGATCATTGCGACGAGTGCCGTCGTCAACGTGGTTTACTCCGCAAAGTCGACTACGAATTCGCCGGCTCTTTGTATATTGAGCGAGCGAGTCTCGTTTGTTCGTCGCGACGTCGTGAATTTTCGATGATAACGTCAGTCAGACGTGCGTGGCATGCGATTCGCAGGCGCGGCCCACATGACGTCGACCGGTAGACCGTAGATCGCGATTTTGATCTCAAAATCTCCCCCCTGACGCAAGGATGTCGTGGATTATATTACACTTGCGCTCGCTACCGATTCACGATGGTGTAAATACCAATTCAGATCGTTTTTTTCTTTAATACGTGTGTTGGCTTTAATACGTTTTATTAGCACAGTTATGATGTAAAGATAAAAAATATCATTTGATAGTTTTACACTGTTTGCTTTCTTACATTTCCATGATATACCGTTAGTTACTAATAATTGCAATAGATATCTCGATTTAGAGTTTATTGTTATAATTTAATCCTGATATTTGTATCTTTGTAGTTAAGCCAAAGCTGTATGGCAACAGCGTTTCAAAAATAAAAATGTCTAGAAAGCGTCCCAGAGAAGAAACTATGATAGCTACCGCATCCCACCAGGACAGCATTAATGGAGAGAATGCATCTTGCTCAAGGGAAGATTCTCCAATACATGCTGTAAGTATCAACATGTGCAAACATTATGATACAAACAAATCTAAGTTAAAAATCAAGATATCATTATTTCATATTCTACTAGCATTGTATAACACTTTTATTACCACTTTTGTTATCAACATTACATATATATGACAAACTAATCGATCATTTTGATTTCTTCCTAGTAAACATGTCAAAATAGTATGGAAATATACCATTAATACAACTTATAAGTTATGCAAAATATAGAATTCATATCTTTTGTAAGATATATAGCTGTACAAGAAGAGGTCATTTGTCAATATTTACTTCCTTTTCATGAATAAACATTACTTGTGATAAGAGATTTTTTAACATATTGTAATATAAGTATTATAAGTAGAAAGTAGAGTTGTTTCTTCCAAATATATTCAATTTTATAACAATAAATTTAAATATGCAATAAAATATGTGTAGTAAAAAGTATTTATAAACAGATACCTGGAATTTATTGATATTCTTAAGATTATTCAAAAGAGATTATTCTAATTACTAATACATAGAAAGTATTGCCCATCACTGATATGTATAGTTTACTGATATGTATTGCCTTCAAGTGATAATGGTCTGGCGTGATTCCAGATTAACTTATCTAATATGATAAAAGCTTAGAAATACTCTGCCATTTCGACAGTCTTGCTTAATTTCTCAAAGTGTTCGCATTGGTATATATTTGAACATATTGAATACAGTCTGAAGCATATTTTCTTAATTTTATTCGTTTATATTCTATAATTATAAATTTTTTAAGTGGTTAAGTGTGTATAGGATTGTAAAATTCTATTTTTAATTTACCAAGTATCCTATGCATCAAATTTTTATATTATAAAGCTACATATTATACAGTTACAATATTTAAAATATTTAAAAGATAAATTCTGATAATATATCATATCTTTGCTGTACAAAATTGTACAAAGAAAAATGACTTGGGGATCCAAACATAATTATGATGAAAGTGACAATACAAATTTGATGTTTTTAAAAGAATACAATAATCAAATTTCTGTTTCCCATGCAAGACTTCCAGTAAGTTCTATTTATTTTATCCTTTTGTGTGACATGTAATTTAATTTATTAAAATAATACCACACACATACATACACACTAGCTTTCTTTTTTCTTCCCTTTTTTTTTTCTTTTGGTTACACATTACATTAAGAAATGTAAATGATAAATAATTTTAATTTTAATATAAGAAACATATACTTTTTTATTTGTTCCAGTCTATTTGTAAGGAAGCACCTTTCAGTGATGATATAGAGGCGATTATAGAAAAAAATGCATGTGACTATAACATACGAATTACACTAAAACAAGCAAGAAGTGGTAAAGGTTTGTTTCATAGATATATTTTTGTATAAAGTATATTGAATATTGTGTTGAATATTGAATATGGATACTTTTAATCTCTTATATGTACATTGTGTTTCACGTTCTGTTTTTAGTTCCTAGGAAAGTTAGAGTCTATGCCGATGGTATCTATGATCTCTTTCATCAAGGACATGCGCGGCAACTTTTACAAGCTAAAAATATTTTTCCAAACGTTTATCTCATTGTTGGAGGTAATTATGCTGTGAGGAATATAATATTACTAGTCCTACAGATGGTTGCGGTATACATTTCCTATAACGTTTTATTTTATAGTGTGTAATGATGAACTTACTCATAGCAAAAAAGGAAGAACTGTAATGACAGATTTAGAAAGGTACGATGCTGTTAGACATTGTAGATACGTAGACGAAGTTGTACGAGATGCACCCTGGGAACTTGATGATGAATTTCTTGAAAAACATAAGGTACACTCGTTAATAAAAATATATGCTTCTTCATCTAAATTTGCACGACAATATATTGCATTTTTTTTCAATTATATATTAGACGAATGAAATTGTACGAGCTATATATTTCGTATTTCAGATCGATTTTGTTGCTCATGATGACATACCTTACATGACAGACGATGGTTCAGATGTTTATGCAAAGCTAAAAGCGAAAGGTATGTTCGTAGCTACACAGAGAACGGAGGGAGTTTCGACTTCAGATATAGTTGCAAGAATAGTTAAAGACTACGACATATATGTCAGAAGAAATCTTGCACGCGGCTACAGTGCAAAGGAACTCAATGTTTCTTTTCTGAATGTAAGTGATCAACTGCTATGTGTGATAAACATATGCATAAAGTATTTATAATATTATGTACAGAAAATGAGCGATATAAAATATTAAAATCATCTTAATATATTCCATGCCAAACCAGTTTTCAGTGACTTTCCGTTCATGCCGCATGGAACCTAACCGAACCTACATTATCGAGAAGAACAGTTTTGTTTGATATATATCACACTTCGGAATTGGTTGCCCATTTCGGCCGATTCTCGGAAGCTACGCCTTCTATCTTCCCCTTGCCGTGAGCGGGTCATGAAAATGACTGTCGCGGCTTCAAGCTTGGAGGCTCGATCGTCACTTTTGTGGCCCGCTCGCGGCAAGGGGAAGATAGAAACCGTAGCTCCTGAAAATCGGCCGAAATGGGTAACTAATCCCGAGCTCTGATATATATGATACATATGATATACAATATTTACAAACTATATAATACTATAAAAATCATAATTATCAAAAAAAAGGTGTGAAGTTTAAGATGCAATACAAGAGCAAAGCAGAAATTTTTGTTTTAACAAATTATCATCGTAATATATAGTTTAACACGTTCTCTGCCATGCACTCATAACATTTTCTCATGTGTGTGTGTGATGTTAGGATTAACTTTAAATAAAACGTTTTATTTCAAATGTTGTTAATATTATTTATATTATATTATTTATATTAATATTATTTATATTATTTATATTTTTTATAATCACAAAAGCATATTGTGATGTTTTTGATTAAAACATGGTAAATTAAATAAATTAAAAATTAAACAAAAAAAGAGCATGATAATTAAGTAAATGCGGTTTGTCAGGACAATCATTATAGAATGTCGATTTTATGATTTTTTGCTGATTGCATACCAAACTTTTTTAATAATTATTTGATAAAAAGAGAAAGAAAACTGATCGCTACGTTGCATATGGGTCGTAGACGATCCACGATATGGTAACTACACTATACATGATATTTAGACATCAATACATGATTTTACAAAATATTTTATGAAAAATTCTCATTTAATAGCAAAAATTTCAAACGGTTTGAATGGAAAGTTTAAAGTGGGTCGTCCATGGTATGGACCGCGGAATGGAACGTATTAAAAAGAAGAAAACAGGAGTTCTAATAGATATAATTTTTTAGGAGAAGAAATTCCGTCTACAAAACAAGTTTGATGATCTGAAAGATAAAGGAAAACGAGTAATGGAAAATATTGGTGAAAAGCGGATGGATATGATCAGCAAATGGGAAGAGAAATCTCGTGATTTCATTGATGCTTTTCTTTTACTTTTTGGAAGAGAAGGCAGATTGGTATGTAATGTATATGTGTGTCTAGATATAGATATAATTCTTTTTCTTTAGGAATTAAAAAAACAGTAGATTAGAAACGATTCCACACAAGTATAGAAAACTTATTGTGAGCATATGATTGTTCCTTTTTATCATAAAACTTTTGTTATATAAAAATATTTCTTAGTTCTAAAAATATATTCTAAAAAAATACTAGATGAATTATATATCAATCAATTCTATGCATGTAATGAACCTGAATATGTTCCATGTATAAGGATATGTCGAAAGTTTTTATTTGTATGTGTAGTCAACAATTTGGAATGAAAGTAAAGGCCGTTTGATGCAAGCATTATCTCCACCAGCAAGTCCAAAAAGAGATGGCAGTCCAAACAGTAGTAACAGTAGCAACAATGATGAGGATCAGACAAGGTATTTTTTTTAACATGCAACAAAAAAAACTTATATATATTTTATTAAATAATCTTACATACGTATATATCTCGTTTTACAGTCCACCGCCAAAGAAGACAGGACGCTATGAGTTTTCACGAAATAATCATTATCTAAGTGATGATTACAGTGATGATGAAGAGGAAAACTTAAACTCTAAATGATAGCCGACTATGTTAAAAAGGTGTACTCTGACCAAAAGTATCGTGCAATTTTTATTTACTATTTTGAGGTTTAGATGTATTTTCATACAGCTACATGATCTGGTGGTACGAAGCGTAATGCTATGCTTGATAGATTTTGTATGGTATGCTTTAATACTATACATTAAACGAAATTGCCCGTTATAATGCGAGAATGTTCAATTTTATTATTGATTTTATTGTATCAGATCACGATATATGTTTTGATACAGTTTCGGCAGTTTTTTCTCGATGCAACTTGGAATGTAATCGATGGTCCAAGTGAAAAAAAGAGCTTGATCTCTGAGAATTAATAAAAATACACATTTAGTAGACTATCAGCTGCATTCTAAAATGTATCGAAAAAGATATACCCAATCTGTATTAAAACCAAGTACATATGATGACTTAGATAATAGATAATTTAAAAGTAATACAATGTTCGGTATTTCATTATGTTTCAAAAATGTTTTTAAACTATTTTGTTCCTATATTCTATAAAATGCCTATGGATTATTTATTTTTAATAGCTTAACATAAATGTGTGAATTTTATTTGACATTTATATCTATTTTCTAAAAAATAAGCACAAAAGGCTTATTAAAATGATATTTGTACTCATAGTTAAATATTAGCACACGTATAAGTGCCAGATTATATTTCGAAGAATTTTTTTACTAAGAATTTTACAAAAGTGATCTTATTCGCATAAGGACTTTTTTTTAATATTTGTAAATGCAAATTAATTTAATTTTAAGAAAGACAGCTTTATAATTTGTACTCTAAGTACTGAAAACCTGTAAGAGAGATCTACGAAGTAGATACGTTTAGTCTTATAGAAATTGGAAAATTGTCGTATTCCGTATAAGTATTGTGCATATAAAAAAAAGTAAACACAAACATTTAGAAAGTCAGACGCTTATATAGAATCTGTTTTAGTACATAGACATTTAACAAAAGTTTGTAACAAATCACGCTTAAAACGTATTATTTGTTAAACGTAAGTTTCTTTTGTGTGATAATTTATTGAAATGGCATTAAATCACCAATTGCATTGTAGAAGTAATTAATGAAAGAGCTTAATGCGTGTGATGCTCTTCGAGAGGAAACGTCGAAGATATAATAAGGAAGATCGCTAATTACAATACACTATAAAATATACTCCACATTTAATAGGGTATAATTTTAGTGTTAACACGTATTAGCGAAATAAGATCAGATATGAGCCAAGACGAACGGATATCAAACTTCGGTGCAAAAGAGACACATACTTAACCACAGCAAGTTTCTCGTGATATGCCGATGCTGCCTCAGTTTGATATAGCGTGCATTTGATATTTATCGTTGATCAGAAAGTCCTAATCCCTAAAGTATTTTATGACCGATATAAATATAAATGCTTTTTCTTTCGTAAGAATGTTATAGATAATACACATTTTATAGTCATATGTTCTTACACTTTTTAGATACATAAATTGTTACATTACAGATTGCTTAGTATGCAAAATTAATTTTGTAGTGTCTGAAAGTGCACACACATTTTGATACTATACCCAATACTATGTGGGAGATCTGTTACCATGTTCGTAACTTCTTAATTAGTATTTGTAGAATTTCTTTAAGAATTAAACAAATGTTTTTCTATAAAATATTTATTTACATTGCACGGTAAATGCACCGTGTAACAAGTGAGAAATTCATGTATACCATTAATTATATTATCATATATTACATGTTATTATGTAAGTTATTTATATGACTTAATCAAACGTTCATATTTTCCTACAACGAAAATACATGTATTATATATGTTATATATATATAAAATTATATATATTATATATATAATTATATATATATATATATGTATATATATAAATAATATATATATAATATATATATACATGTTATATATATGTAAATACATGGATACATGTATATGCGAAATTTGTTCATTAATATTATTATATTATGGTTTAATTCTTTGTATTTATATATGATGTATATGATTTACTATATTTATTCTCCGAATGGCAATAAAAAGCACTTTCTGTAAAATAATCGTGCTCTATCAACCATATGCTCTGTCAAATGTATATAAATCGATATGTTCCATTTGTCTCATTACATCACATTTTATGTGTAAATAAGTAAATAGAGTGCATTACAAAATAGAACAAGGAGATAAAGTAACTACAAAGCCAATATTCGATTTTAAATATGAAGTATTGCTTATTTCAATTTTCAATTATTCTCGACTATTTTGCATAGCAATCATAATTCGTTATAAATGAAAAAATAAGATAATTTGTATGAAGTGTATCTCGTTTCGTCTTCGCGCCATGCGTTCGTAATATATCCATTAGCTGAGTTCCACTTAACGCCCGCAACGATCATTTTATCCTTGTCTTTCACTGGATGTTAAAAAAGGATAGAATGACATCGCGACATCGCGATCGTTGTGAACGTTAAGTGGAACGCACACCGTGTATCAAGATCACTGGACGAATATCATCGTTTCATGAATAGGGAATTTGTCGACCAAAAGTCCGTGACGACGAAATTTGAACGGAAACCCCTCCGTAACGTTTGTGCAGTACATGCGACGCCAAATATGTATACCTGTTTGCTGTCAAGAAGCATTGTGATTCAGAAACGCGCTCAAGAATTCGACGACCGATACTCTTCGCAAAGATCGGAAGATAAAAATTCAAAGAGACTGTGACTATTACGAGACGCATGGATATCAAGATATAACGTCCAACTCGAAAATATCTTTCCGGAGAAGTTTTCAAACGCGATCATATCTGACGTCAACTGTACAGCGGTTTGAGCTCTTCCTCTTAACGGTTTAAGGTAGGCCATCGTTGAGATACACGTTGGCACTAGCACTCGCGCATGCGGAGAAAAAAGGCGGGCATGAAGGTGGGAGAGAGACAGTGCGAGGATTCGAAACCCACTAATAAGATCGTTGGGTATAGCGTACGGAGCACGAATAGGACAAAGCGTTTGCGAAGGTAACCGTGATGGTGCTGCTGGTGAGCTGGTGGTATTGTTACCGATACTACTGCGGCTGGTGTTGTTGCACTTGACGACGAGTTGAGAAGTAAGCGCGATCTGACGATGCGTTCGCGTGTATTCGGTGATATTCATGTTGAATTCGCGCACGGTGACGTTTGTGTTTACGATAAAATTTAAATGCTTCGCGACGGGGTGTACACATACACGAGTGCGCATTACTGACGAGAGGACACGCGTAGGAAAATCTCGCACACAAAGGAGAGAACGGGCCGATGTTGTAACGCACGTGCCAAAATGGATGAGCAAAGCGTTCACGGCGGTATCGGCGATATAAATAGTGCGGTGGTGGCTAAAGGTAAGAGTGCGAATATGTCAACGTTAAATCATCTTCGGCGGCATCGCAGACGGAACGGCGACGTCGTTACCGCGGGCTCGCTCGCTCAGCTCGGCCGCACGTGGCTCTTTACCTGCTTCGTGAAACGCGAAGATTCTCGGCTCGTGAGCGTATCTCCATGAAAAGATAATACAAGATCCGCCCGACTAACCCTACTTCCTTCCTCATCTTGTGTTCTCTCTCTTTCTCTCTCTCTCTCGCTCTCGCTCTCGCTGGCGACTCACTCCGATGATCGCGTCGCGCGTATTTGTCGCCGTTTTTTCTCGTACACGTGACTAAATTTGCTGTTCTAGATGACTTACAATATCCGGAACTTTCTTCCTCTAGACACGATCCTTACCGGCGCGTAAAACAGGGGGGAAACATGAGTAAGTGCCTTCTGCGATTCTTCTAAATTCGGCCTTGACTTATTCTCCAAAATTACGTCAGAGAGACGAACGGTTTCCCCGCGACGAATATCCTTATAAGAAGCTTTAAGAATTGGCAGTAATTTCGCTGTGGCTTGTAATTGTTCGTCTATTTATCTGTTCTCTATTTCCCTTTGTCTTTCTTTCTAGATGCTTCTCTTTCGTGCTCGTTCTGGCTTCTATCTTTCTTCCCTCTTCCCCCCTCACTCTCTCTCTTTCTCGCGCGCACTTTTCCCAAGTTAATTATCTCACACCGAGCACGTGAATCGCGCGTACAGATGTACACATGTACACGGAACTTCCCGTTGTCTACGATGATACGAAATAGAGCTACACACTTCGTACAATACGTTTAAATTTTACCGGAATGCTGACACAGCTAAAAATAGCTTTTACTGACAAAATCTTCCTGCTAGCTGGTGGAAACTTAGTTACTTTCTTCGTTTAATAATAGCAATGTCTTGCAATTGTTACATACTAATAAAATCAGTAACTCACTTTAAAATGTTTATTCATTCCTCACTCTCATTTTCTATCTGTTTTTTCTGATGTAAAGATTATATATAGGTAATAAAAGTTAGAATTTAATATTTTGCATATTAATGTTTAATTGCATATTAAATTTAATATTTTGCATATTAATGTTTAATTGAATATTAAATTTAATATTTTGCATATTAATGTTTTAAAATACAAATTTCTATATAGCAGATGTATGCATAGTAATTTACTTTAATCTTTGTGGTATCTATGAGATATATGAAATTTTCAAGATAATCTATTAATTCATATTATCTTCAAGAAAATGAACAATGGTGTTATCATTTGCTACTCATTGTCTAAAATTGCAGCAAGGTCAGAATAATTACTGTCTTTACCTGTATTTTTTGTACGAATATTTATTACAGCCTTTATATACATATGTAATTGTTTCTCTAAGAAATCATAAATATATACATAAAGTACTCTATTTTTATTATATATTGTACATAAAAATTAAGCCACTTGAAGATTTTATTATCAAGTTTATACATTTCTTATCCCTTGTCTACAACTTTGCTTTAAGCCGTAATAAATTGATCAACATAGCATCGTCTACAATATGCAGAGTAAGCTTGGAGTAAGAAGTAAGCCGTAAGAATTAACCAATCATCAGACGATTATTTTTATAATAATCGACTATGATTGGCCAATTCTTACAGCTTACTTCTTACTCCAAGCTTACTCCGAATATTGTAGACGACGCTTATTATTTTAAAAATAATCAATTGTGGTTGGTCAATTTCTTACGACTTAAGAATTAAAGCAAGGTTGTGGACAAGGGGTTATATAATGTGAAAGTTATTGTTAATGGTGTTTTTATCTTTGTCATATACACTGCCATATACGCACGTGTGTATATTAGCACAAAAAAAATCGGCACATGTTCAATATATGTGACACACATACATACATACACACACACATATATATATATATATTTATTTATTTATTTATTTATTTATTTAGAAGTTTTCTATATTAATAAAATTAATAGTCAATTTATGTATGCACTTAAATTGCACGATCGTATTTATGTTTAGAACGTTTAATTTGCAGCCTTAATTATACCACGCAAAAAGCGAATATGCTTAGTTGGCGGGGCCTGCAATGAACCTACACTTAATCATGCTGCTCTGCAGTTTAAAGTATCTGTGCTCAAGTCGGAAACCGGTGCGGAATATGTCGAAGACACTAGTTATCATACTTACTTTGTACTCAAGCAATTTGAAGGACCCGAGTTTGATGCTTTATGTAAAAGCGCTCATAGGTTTGTACAAAAACAAAAAGTATATCAGACTCCCGTAATAATACGCAATTAACGTACGGTGTATGTATAAGTATAAGACAGAAAAACGCAAACAGTTAACTAATTACAATCAATTATTCTTGGACCAAAAGTTGGTTAATTTGCTTATTGTTTACATCTTACTACTTATACTTTTGCGTGCACCGTGGGCCTAATATAGAGAGGAAACAGAAAATCTTGATGCTATCTGCTTTGTTTCCTCTGATTAGAATACTGGGACCCACAGCTTTGCTGCAACTGGCAGACAAGAAAGATTCTCTGCCTAGTATCAAACGACCATTGTACACACAAGCTATGGTAGGCACAGTAGTGGTGTTCAGCGGATTTCGAACTAAAGAAGATGAACTGGTAAATCCGTTGTTTATATTTATTACTTTTGATATAATCTCTGTCTCATTATTATATATTTATGATATGTTTTGTCTTTAATAGCGCAAATTAGCCAATATGATTCTTAATATGGGAGGTAGCATCCGTAAAGAGATGGGTATTAAAGTGACGCATCTCATTGCAAATCATTGCAGTGGAGAGAAGTATAGATATGCCGACACATTTGGATTGCCTATTATGTCAGTAGAATGGGTGATAGCGTTATGGAATGCCAAAGATGATGTTTCTAGTTGTGCGAAAAAATTAGTAAGTCTCCCTAAATATTAGAAACTAAATATAATCAAATAATTATATTTGAAACATTATATTTTGTAATAGTATATTATAGTATATATATGTACACACACATGAAGTTTTTCTTTTTTTTTTTTTATTAAATATACTCGATTGTGTTTGCAGATAACAACTTACAAGCTAAAGCCATTTTATGGGGCAAAAGTGTGTTTCTTTGGCTTTCCTGAGGAAGAGAAGAAACATATGTGTGAAGTTCTGGAGCAACAAGGTGGTGAATCTACTGAAATAGATAATCCAAATTGCACTCATGTGGTGAGTTGACAATATGTTTTTCATTTATTTGCCTGTTTTTCTTTATTCTTTCTTTTGTTCTTTCTTTTAGAATATGCATCTTAATTCACTTCTTCATTTTAACATTCCTTTAATATTATTCATAAATTCTGCACATAAACATATGATGTCATTTTATACAGATGTATTAGATTTATATATCGCAACCGTCAAGTTTTCAATAATTTTTTACGTTATGTAAATGATACACATGCTTTAGGTGGTAGACGTAGCTGGTCATTTCTACAAGAAATCCAACAACATAATCGACAAGTTATCGTATCTGAAAACTCCATCTAGTCTTCGTCCGCTTTTCTTAACGTATTATAAGCCAATTTCTTCTCCTCTTTATAATCCTTGTTCAAATTCGCTTTTCATTCCGATAAAAACACGTACTAAATACAATGATATATCAGGCAATGGAAGTATAGATTTTATAGAAACACAGGATTGCTATTTTTTATCAAAAAGTATTTCGTTTATGTTGCAAATGCTTGATGTAGATAATAGTAAGTGGACTGATCTCATTCCTAATAATAACAACCAAGATTCTGCTATTCATGCCAGCATGAATGATAATTGTCCTGATTTGCAAAATCCACTCATTAAATCTGACAATATGCATTATCATTTTGTAGAGCAAAGTGATTCTGGTATAGATATAAACAAGTTGTCTAATATATCCGATGCCTTTTCTATGTCAGATAAATGTTCGACATTAACAATGATAAGCGATAAAAAGATTAAATTCAGTATTTCCAAAAGTTCTTTATTCAGTAGCAATCGCTCTCTTTCTAAGGTTACGTCAAATTTTCCAATAAAATCCGATGATTTGAAAGTTTCTAAATCTTTTGAAAAAAATAATGCACATAACGTTTCCATACCAACAATGAATAACAACGCACTGTCTCTGAAATATCGTAAAAATATTCACTATATACAGAATAATACTTCAGTAACTAAAAGAATTGTAACTCCAAAACAATACATAAAATGGAGGAAAACTAATTCTTACACATCCGTTCATAAAATGGCGACATTTGAAAAATATAAGTTCATGAAAACACGTTCGTACCCGAACATATTGAAACATTATGAAGAACAATATAGCGATACGTTTTTATATAATGCATCAGGCGAAAAGACTAAATATTTGTCTAAATCTTATACATCCATTTTTTCAAAAATTACTAATTTCTCTTTTTGCTCTACATTTCCTGCTACTAAACAAGATATTTTTAACGACTCATATTATCCGTCTCCTGAGAAAATTATGTTCAAAAAGAAATATACATCCTTATCCAAGTCTTTCCCAATATCTATAAAGACTTTAAACACCAAACGCAACTTGAGGAATGCTTTTGCCTCTAATGGGAAGAATTACAATGCTGCACCTGCATCAGATGATACGAAAATTGACTCCACAGATTTGAGAACACAGGACAAATCATTACTCGCGGTATCTTTGCTTTATTTTGGTGTACAGGGTATTATAGGATGTGTTGTAAATTTCTCCAGATTAAACAGATTAAACTCGACATATTGCGCACGGCGGTTTATTCTTCTAATCCAATCTCAGAGTCCACATATTGTATACATATGTGCTAACTCTTCTCTTTTTTCGCACTTTGACATTTGCTTCGGCATTCACTGTTTGTATGCAATTATAAGGAAATACGCAAACAAGATAAGGTCGTGATCTGACCTTAACATTGATCTGCTCCTAACATACATTTTACTAAATTCTATATATCTTATAAGTCGTACGCAATGTGTTAACAAATGGAGAAATTTAATCTTTTTTAACTGAATAAAATGTCAATTTTTATACAGCTCTTTTTGGTTCTGTCAGGTTTATTAAATATATACACATGAAAATTTACTTATTAATTTATAAATACATATAACACAGATAATAGGAAGTCTTGTACAAATTTATCCGGAAAGTATTTATATATGTAAAGTATTAATATTCACAGCATGTACATATATAATTGTCCTGTTTTGTTGTCTACTTTGTGTCTCTCTCTGTGATAGAAATTATAATATGTGTTTATGATAACGACAAAAATTTGTGATAATGTTATAATTGTGAACTGCATCTATTTTGTATTTTCACAATTGTGAGCAATCAAATTTGATTGTTACAGGTTGTAGATGAGTCCAATGTAAATGTACTACCAAACTTGGGTTCGGTCTCAGCTTTCATAGTCAAAACTGGGTGGTTTTGGACATCTGTACAAAATGAAGCAGCAGCTGACGAGAAAGACTATTTGTTTGAACACGTAAGTTAAAAAGTAATAATGATGATATCATTGATATAATGCATTCAACATTATAATCACGATTTTGTTTGTAGTATCTAGAAACAGTTCTGTCTCCCAGTGCATCTAGCAGACGGGACAGTCAGCAAATTGCAGGACAAAGTGTAGCATTACCGAGGCATCCTTACTGGTTAGGTACTCCATTATCTAATCTATTGCAGAATGGAGCAGATTCACCAGCAAGTGTCAGTGGAAGTTTTTTGGACTGTACAGCAAGTCCTGATAAATTGCTGGAAGGTGCGCTAATTCTAATAAATATACTTTAGAATACATATATTTTTGTTAGTAGTCACATGCAATCGTAACATTATGTATATACTTAGTACACACATAATGTATACATAATATACATTATACATGCACGAGACAGTAATACTTCATCAAATGCATGTCAATTGATATTTATAACACATTAGAATTTTGATATCATATTAACAAATTTATCTTCTCTTTTATTGTGGATTATTAGATATATGGTATTGAGTGTTGACTATATAGATTCATTGTTTATCATAACAAGATAAGAGTATGGATCTTAACCTTCTTTTGAGCTTAATATATACTAAAGAGTTCAAAAGACATGATCGTGAAACAATCATTTAGTCTTTCCTAATTATTAAAATATCTAAGATAAGGCACATGAAAGGGAAGATGGTATTGAAATTATTTATTGCTAACTAATAGATATTCCAGAAGTAGAAGCTGTCGATATAAAAAAGGTCAGGGGAAATTTGTCAAAACGTCACCAAGTTTTTCTTGAATTAGTAGAGACTGAATCCAATTATGTGGGTATTCTTAACACAATCATGACGGTAAGAAAATATTTGTTATATATACATATAAAATTTATTAAATGTATACTTATATTTTTCAGAATTTCATAATAATCTATATTTATTATTACAGCTGTTTAAGTTACCATTAGAAAATCTTATTGGGAAGAATGGGAAAGAATTATTAAATAGTACAGAAGCCAGAATAATATTTGGAAATTTTCCTCCCATTTATGACGTTCACAAACAGTTGTTGGAGTCACTTCGTTATAGTGCTGCACATTGGACAGAGGACATTAGTATCGGAAAAATATTTCTAAAGTTTGAGCCAGATTTGGTTAAAGCATACCCGCCATATGTTAACTTCTTCGAGAATACAAAACAAATGTTAGATCAGTGTGATCAAAACAAACCACGATTTCATGCCTTTTTGAAAAACTGTCAGACGATACCGGAATGTGGTAGACAAAGTTTGAAAGAGCTTTTAATTAAACCAGTACAAAGGTTACCCAGTATTAATTTATTGTTAAACGGTAAGACAAAGTATACTACTTAATTTGTCTAAATAAATTTTTGGACATCAGTAAAATGCTCTTATTTCTTCAACAGATATTCTTAAACATACCGACAAAAGTAATCCAGATTATAGCGCACTGGAAGCTTCTATTAGCTGTATTAAGAATGTCATGACTTATATAAATGAAGATAAAAGGAAAACAGAGCGCCAGTTAGCAATGTTCGATATTTTCAATGAGATTGATAATTGCCCACCGCATTTAGTTTCCTCGCACAGATCATTCGTCGCCAAATGTGATGTAATGGAGCTTACAGAAGGTCTTAGTGGACGGGGCGATCATTTAGTACTGTTTCTATTTACCGATACTCTTGAAATCTGCAAGAAGAGATCAAAAGCTTTTAATTCGCTAAAAAGTCCCAACACAATGAATGGTTTGCAGTCGAGTAAATTAAGTCAAGGAAAGCCATATAAGCACATAAAACTGCTATCACTAAATACTATACGAAAAGTGGTGGATATACGGGAAACTGAAGGTAAATAAATATATAAATTACGTAAATGTACACAATTTATACTTTTTTATACTTATTACAGAATGTCATAAAGTATTTGCTCTTGTTGTACGAAGTAATCAAGAATTAAAGGAGAAATTGTTCTCGTTTGTTATTACCGACGAAGAAGTGAATAAAACGAATTATTTGCGAACTTTGTGCAGACAAATGGCCATCGCTGTTTGTGTAGCTGATGCGGTATACTTACACATTAATATACACAATCGATTTATATTAATATATGATTTGATACTGGACTTTATAATGTGAAATAATTTCATCATAATTTTGATTCTATTTATATTTGTATATAAATTATATATTAATATAAATTGCATATAATATTTATATTCTATTTATATTTCTATTTATTTTTTATTTGAAGTATTCTTTTTTTTGTTTCTTAGGATACATTACTTATTAGCCACGATTCACATCAGTTTGAAATCGATACTAGCGATATAGCATCAGGAACACTAAAGAAAACAATTAAGTGAGTATAACCATGTATTTTAATACTAATTATATTATTTATTATTTTATATCGTTACTTTAACCCCTTACATTGAAATCATGTCTCTTAGATATTCTATTTACGAATTAGAATCGTCGAGTATGTACGTCTCAGAATATAATGTAAATGTTTTTTCTGAGCTTCACCTTAAATAGACGCATGTCCCGCGCGAGCGTTAATTAAATACCAATGCATGGGATTAATATTACGATAATATATTATTATTAGTTTATTATTATTATTATTATTGATTTATTAATATTATTACTATTAGTTATTATATGATAATTATTAAATTATTATATAATAATTATTAAAATATTAATAATTATATCAATGCACAAATAAAAGTAGAGCACATTAATACGTTCGCTATCAATGTCACATATATGTGCCGGCAAACATTTTTTTCCTATACACACATCAACCTAAGTCAATTTTACATAATTAAAAAGAAAAAACTATATGAAGTAAATGTATATGTAAGTATATGTAGAGAGAGTCATTTAAATAAATTGTGATATTGAACGTATTAAATTGAATAGGAAAATTCCCTATTATTTTGCACGGAAAGAACGAGCCGTATAGACATGATCTCATGAAAAATGTAATAAATCTTAAAATCTTCATTAACAATCTCCGCAATGATACGCGGCACGTAAAGACGTGCGGTTCTACCATTAGCCGTACATTCGTTCGCTGATATTCTTTAATGTTTAATAACTATTGCGAAATCTTATGTGCAAGATATAGAGAATATTCTTATTTAGTTCAATGTCCATAATGATATTAAGATAATATTAATCTCAGAGTTCGACATACGTTGCACATTTCGGCCGATTTTCGACTTGTCCCGCATTAATCTCTAGCTATATTATCCTTATCTCATCGCCCCGTGCACAATGTACGAGCTGCCCAAAATTCAAGATAATTTGTAAACATGTATTTCCAATAGTTCTCCATTATTAGAAATAAATATTTACAAACAGCTCACGTTCGCAACGCGTGCTAAACTCTGTTTTATCTATATCAGGACTCGGCACATTTTGCCCATTTCGCCCTTTTCGGCCGATTCTCGGGAGCTACGCCTTCTACCTTCCTCTTGCCGCGCAGCGGGCCTAAAAATTTACGGTCGTGCCTCTAAGCTTGGAGTCACCACTGGCCGCGTCTGTCACTTGCATGGCCCGCTGCGCGGCAAGGGGGAGAGAGAAGGCATAGCTCCCGAGAATCGGCCGAAAAGGGCAAAATATGCCGAGCCCCGATCTATATTATTTATCGTGATTATAGCAGTAATCTAAATTTTTTTATATGTATGTTTTATAGACGATATTTTATTTCTATGGGTTATGTCAAGTATCGTATATGCGGTGAAAAATTAAAATGTCTTCTATGTTGTTGATCATTTTTATTCTTATATTCATTATAGTACGTAAATTTAACATTATTACATTTTGCTATTAGTATGAATATTAAGATTTAAAAAGAGATGGTAAAATGTATAAAATATAAGTCGTTCAAATATAAACGAGACTTTTAAAACTCTTGTTAGACAAATATTTTATACCAAATGCCAAAAATACAGTATATTAAATGATGACTAATTAGTCCCAGAGGTAAGTATTTTGATGGTTAAGTACACCATCCATATCGAATATAACTATAATTTTTAAATAAGATAATCTTAGTAATAAGATTATAATCTTTACGACATCAATTTGCTTGTCGTTCTGCGGGGAAATTGGACTAGATCTTATTATTAAATATATTATTAAATATAGGTCTTATTATTAAATATATTATTTTATGGTACTAGTTTGAAGTCAACTGCATTTAATAGAACAGATTGGATAATGTAGTCAATCGATTTTTTTTTTTAAAGCTATAATTATATTTTATACATAATTTAATGAAATGTGGTTGTATGATCATAGTATGATCATCACGCGGCGTTTGAAGTATTAATAAAAGCATGTATCGTTGATATTTGAACGAACACTTGTAAAGAATGCTGTTATATTTTTACAAGCACGTAATCAAAATATTCACTACTGTACATATTACACTACATTGCATGATGTAGAAAAATAATGGGACAACAACCCGTTTGGTTACAGGAGCCTCTTTCATAATTTTTACCTGGAGTATATGGATCCGTATGTGTTCCTACTCAATAGCATGTGTGAAACTACGTTACATGTCCCACTACCGTTAGTTTTCGCACCAGGCTGATTATATTTTTTTACTCGCTTCTTTTACCTTCCCCGCTTCTAAAATATCGTTTTATGCTTGATGGATGAATATAATTGTTAAAAGATAATGTCAATCAGCTATAACCAGTTCAAGCATGATATAATACAAACTGTAAGCTGTATCTCTATTGATTGTTTGTAGAGGTGATTTTTTCAGAGAGAATTACTTAGGAACTAAATTGAGTTTATATATATTTTTATATATTTATATATTTTTATTTAAGTTATATATTTTGTTATATATTTTTTTCGTATACTATATATAAAATATGTGTGTGTCTGTATGTCTATTTTATTGCATATTGCACATATACGCTTCTTTAATTTGTATTGTGATTTTGTATTGATTGAGAATGCCGTATAATTAACATGGGAACCCATTATCTTGTGTCATGATTTAACTTGCATGTATTTTGTTTCACTTTAAGTTACTTTTCTTAGTAATGTTTTGTAATTTGATTTGATTTTTTTATCTATATAACACAAACGCATCTTATGTTTTTTTTTAGTGTCTCATATCTTTCAATGTGCAGCCATGGTGCAGTTTTCCCACCGTTTTCAATTATTGCATGTGATTAGGCATGTTTTTATTATACTGCATAAAATTGCATGAAAAATATTCTTTTTACTATAATAATCCTATATATATCCTGTGTGTTTGAGCTGGTTTTTCTGAGTCTTTAATATTTGTGAATTTGTCGCACATTCCTTTTGTTTATAAAATATTTTTTCCTCTTAATAAAAAAATTCCAACTTTTGCTTTATAATGAAAAAAAAAATGTAATTTTAAAGATCAAAGTACACTTAGAACTATTAACTTGAGAGAAGGAAAGAATATTTTAACGTCGCGTTTAAATGTTACAATCATATATTGACAAATTTGTAAAGTGTGATTTTTTTTCCCTTAGATTTGCATCTCGTACAAGAGCGAGAGTTGGCAGAGCTTTTAGTTTCAATAAAACTCCAAGTAAATTAAATAGAGCAATGTCTACAATTATGTCACCATTTGGAGTGCCACAACATCTTGCTCCAACAAATCAACAAAGAAATCAGATGCGGCTAGGCAGCTGCAGCAATATCAATGTTAGTTGATACTTTTTCTCGCATATATTTCTTTATTGCTTTTGCTTATTTTTTTTCTTTTCTACTCATTTATTTTCACATCATAAAGGAAAGTAACTTTTCTCACTCATTTTATCTTAATATGTAAAACGAACTGTATAAGAAACTAAACTTAGTTTAGATGTACATTGCAATCTATTATAAAATCTTTTATATTTCCTTTCTATTGTTAACTTTTCCATTAAATTTTTTTCTATTTATATACAAAATTATTTATACTATACAAAAGATTAAGTAAAAATTATAAAAAAGTAATATCTTATACATATATTTATGTTTTCCTTTTACTCATATCTGTATCAAATATTTTAAACTTTTATGTTAATAGCACTATATTTCTACATTGCAATGTGACAAACATATGAGTCTCCCAAAAGCCAAATTGATTAATTACATTTTCTATAAATTCCTTCATTTTAATGCTAGATTTTTTAATGTGAAAAAATTTGATAATAATACATAAAATACTTTTTTTAACAGAAAACATGGAAAAAGTTAATACTTAGCTAACTTTATCTTGTCTAAATTTCACTTTGTCTTCTATTTTGGTATTTATTTGCAACACTTTCAAATTCCTTATATTTATATTATATTATCTTCATAAGAAAGGAAAAATATGCTAATAATTATAATAAATTTGCACGCTGATTCAAAATAAAGCTGTGTTAGGAATCACGTAAGTATGTAATATAAGACAAGATTTTTTGCTAGAAATTTTTATTTGTACTACATATTAACGAATTGATGATGCTAAATGTTATTGAATTTAATTTTTTGATCTTAAGTTTCTGATGTTTTTCTAGGAGTTGGATAATGATGGTTCAAGTTCTCCAACTAGAGACGACGTTATTGTAGCACCGATGTCGGATCAACCGACTCGAAAGGCTCTCAGTATGGCTTCGCTGCGAAGGTTGTAATTAGTATGCAAGAAGTCATACTTTCATTTTGCTACAGTTGTATAGTATTCTGAGAGACGTGCATTTGTAACAAACTACTGTGGTATGTTAAACTAATATAAATATATAAATATATACACACACACACACACACATAGTCTATATATTGACATATATAAAGATGTTAATTATGACTAAAGACAGTCTCGAGAAAGGGGCGCAACATAACACATCTCTGCAATTTAACCCCGAATAATAACAATCGAGAAAATTCAATATAATTTTCCGAATAATGTCTTGTGTCCTTAAATGCATCAGCATAGGAACGATATTGTTATTAGTGCCAATAATACCTAGTTATTATTGTATAACTATTATTAACATTTATATTTATTTTATGTAATATTGTAATTATTGTACATGTTTATTTTTAGTTTACGCACACATTCGCCAGCAAAATGCATGATTTCCTTGTACTGTTTCACATATATCTATCTAATGTCAAACATTAGATAGACAAAATCTTTGTAATATAACGGACTATTGCCGCTTAATAGAAATATACTAGCACCTCGCCGAATTAGTAATTTTCGTCGTTTTAGATATGTCGTAGTGAATGAGGAGATATTTGTTCACTTGTCTCCTAATCACTCTAAAAAACGGAACTGACGAACTGTACACAAAGTGTACATATATTTTGTACGTTAGGAAAAGCAAACGGCATTATTCATTGTTTCATTTAACCCTCGCAATACTGACGGTTCCAGCAACAGATTCCGCACAGATTACGGTACCTGGGTCAGTCCGAACCTCATTTAGCGAGGGTTAAATAATGTGTCCCAGTGCACTCCCCGGTCACAATCCCCGATGTCTCCAATACACAGAGAACACGTGTTCCTTTAAGAATGGATCTAGCAAATACGTCTAGTCATAGCATAGAAGAAAACAAAGGATTGCTGTCTGATAATTCTTGTTTTTTTCTATGCTACTGACATTAGAGATTTGTGCAATTTTATTGTTTCATTATTTTTCTTGTTTCTGTTTCTCTATTCATTAGAATTTGTTCTACGGGGGTCATACAAAGGAGGTCCGATCTTTGAACAGCAAAGCAAAATTATTACGCGCTACTACCACTTCGTCTTTATTGTTATCGATATCTGCCGGAGATATGGATCTTTCTGTGAAGCTGATAAAAAATCCAAGTTTTTTCTTACAAATAAAATCAAGTTTCTAGGAGAACCGTGTCTTGTGCGCATATTTAAATTCAAACATGAAATCGTCCGTCGATTATTTAATAATTTGTAATTTGTTATACTTGTCAAAAAAAATGTGACAATGCACAACTATATCCATTCAATAACGAAACTATATCGCCAATTGCTATGAATTTAATGGTTCATTCTGACAATACTGTATTCAGTGACTTCCGATCCGACCGATCCGATTTATCACAGAGTGATAATTTATTACTGTTTTACACCTCGACAAAATTTAATATGAGAATTGCAAAAGAATAACTGAGAATCAAGTTCCGCGATTTTGCAATATTGTATAGGGAACAAAGACAGACATCACGAAATCCTACGAGTATTTGTTATTGTATGAAAAAAATTAAAAATCCCGGTGTCAAATATACTATAACGATAATAAGATACTGTAAGCTGCTCTATACATACATACACATTAGCATTTCTTTGATAGTCCGTTATTTTAAAACAGGCTCTGAAGTTTATTTCTTAATTGAGTCATAATAATATGAAGTAAAAGGAGGTTACATATTTAGTTTATTTGCAAAATAATCAATTGTTATATGTACTCGGTGAAAGATCTTATAGGCGTAATTTTTGTTTCTTTTTCTTTCGTTTTTTTTTTTTCGCAGTCTTCTCGCTTTTGTTTACTCGATCAATATATTCCGTGTCTTTGATTTGTTCCTAAGAAATTGCTGTAACATCATTTTTAAATTGATACGATAAAGCTAAGGACCAAGCTTTAACGTTTTGCAACATTTTGTACTAACGGCGAACTTCGTCTTTTATATACGTCTTATCGCTAGGATATAAGAGAAAGAGATCCCGCGGCATGATGTATCGGTAAATGTATTTTTAGAGCATAGTATGTATTGATTGATTGAAGAGAAGCAGTGCGAGAGTCACGAGGGACTGCAGAGAAAATAAATAGAATGCAATGGAAAATTTTGGTTGCCGCTTATAAGGCCTTACAGCCTGATGCAGGTTTACATTACCGATCAAGAGTGTATTCTTCCTTCTCTCTTCTTACGATAAATGTAATTAGTGCCTTGTGTGATTGGAAGTGCGGACGGAGTTTGTATTATATGATAGTGTGTACATTGTGAATGTGAATTAACGCGTGATTCGTACAAGAAGCGTGAATTAGCGGCGTGTATTTGTCTCGCGATTTGCCGAAGTCTCCGATAGTATTCTGTGCCCGATACCCGCCATACGTGTTAGATACTTAAGATTACTACTTGTCGACATGGCTATATTTGCTTTCGAAACGGTGACACGGTACTTTGTACTTGTTTGTGACAGAGCGTATCTTGTAACAACGAAACAGTGCTTCTTGCGGATGCCATTGAATAGACAATACCTACTCAAAGTAAGTATTGTTTATTCGCAATTGTTAAAATGAGAGCCGTCGGGCAAAATAGTAGCGTAAATCTCGTTTTCGTACGTTGAAAAGAGAATAGACTCCGTTTAACGAGACATAAAATCTTACATCGAATATAGATTGTTGCGCTGTTCACAGACGAGGATAACAACGATTTGACTCTATTATTCTGTCATACGGCTCAAGTTGAAACCAGTGAAAGTTCGATATTAATAAATGTCCACTCGGACGTTCGTCTCGTGTATAGACACCGATATAATCGTCGATCCAAGAGATCGCTAAAATCGGCAGTGCAACCGCACAGAGAACACTTCGATCGTCTAATGCGCCTTGCACGTGATCAGTTCTGAGTGTTATTTTTTTCTCCTATCTCGAAGAGTATTAGTCAAAGAGATGTAGCACGAGAGAGAGAAAGAGAGAGAGAGGGGCAGAGCTGTGTAGTTATATGCGCCGAGACGAAAGTGTCTCTGAGTTATCACAAACGTATTGTAAATAATAAAGTTAAGTACCTAAGATAGTAAAACGCATCGTAATATAGGCGACACATTTTGTACTACACGCGTAAGGTTATCGTAATATCACCTTTCCGCGTAGCGTTATTATTTATATTATACTGTAAGTGAATGTATAAATCTAATCTTTATTATGTAAAGCCAAAAACCGCACAGACACAGACACAATACACATACATACACGGAATGCGTTGTTCATTCAGACGTTCGGCCGTTTCCCTCCTGCTCATCCATTTCGCTTTTCCGCGGGTTCTCCCGGACATACGCGATAGCGAATTATTGCCGAAAGTTTGGTACCGAAAAGCTTTTCGTTTTATTGGCTACGAGAGGAGAGACATTTGCATCTTGTGCGATGCATGGCCTCCCGGAAAGTAGAAGCGGTTACTTTGCGAAATACGTGACCACGCGTATATGTCTACGGTGTACCGAATTCACGAGATCGTAAACTGGAGTACAGGCTCGAGCTGCGGTAAGAATAAGGAAATTTCCGTCGAGTTTACGCGCGCACCTGTCGGATTGAATTGTAAACAACATTGCGAACGATACGCCGCAACAGCGAGTTGTAAAAAAGAGTTTTAGAAGACAGAAAATTGAAGAGAATCCTACAAACGAGTCATTAGTATTTAAACTCGCATGCGCCCGTGATACCTTAAACGTATCTTTACGACGGTGAACGATCGACCAAGTGTTCCTTCGTTATTTCACGTCCCTCGTGTTTTCTTGCAATAGACGTAAAGAGCACACACGATTGTGTAGCAGACGCCGAAGAGACTCGGCTGCGCGCCAAGGAAGAAGAACGCTTCCACTTTGAAATCGAGCCGCACGTTAGCCCTGCCCCTAAGTGCTACAAATGCAACGAGTTTATCGAAGATACTTTTATCGGCTACGAATTATTACCTCTCATTTATGGTGCCTTCGACGGATTTTATTCACTACGTCGCATTGCGCGAGTAAGATAAATGTGCCAGTGCTTCGACATATGTATTATGAATATTCTTATTACCTTGGTCTTTAAAGCTCCTGCTCCTTCGTCGCGAAACTCTTGATTGATGACGTCAGAAGTGAGGAAATGCGTGCCCAAAATACATACAAAGTGTCCATATTTAAAAAATGACACAATCGATTAAACACACCTTTAAAACTTCTAATACACCAAATATTTCCCTTTAACGATCAATAAATAAAATTAACGTAACAAAATAATAAGGAAATCCTTCTCTCTAAAAGAAGGCATGTAAGAGATTTTAATTGTTGCCGTTTTTCCGCGATACTGATTGGTTCTCTCGCTTAGCTCATTTCATGTGGGCTACGGCTTGCTTCGTGTCGTTTGCGCCTGTCAAATTACCAGGCAAATAGTTGTCATCGCGTTGGTTAGGTCACGAAAAAAAAATACAGAAGAAATATGTCTCTCCCTGTCTCTCCCTGTCTCTCCACGTCTTTCCCTGCCTTTTCTGTCTCTCCCTGTCTCTCCCCGTCTCTTCCTGTCTCTCTCTATAATTATTAATTAATTAAAGTATATTTTAATTTAATTTTTGTTTTATTTTTATTTTACATTTTTTATTGTTTTTTATTAGCTATATGGCGCGCGCATAGTGCGCACATATATTGTTCTAGTGTAGATTAAAAAGGGAGATTCACATTAATTTTACGATTATTTAAAGATTGTTGGAGCAAAAGCAAAGTGTACGGAATATTCTAGAGTGTGTTTAGTAAATTGCAAATGTCATTTTTTTGGATATATCTTTATTTCGACGTATTTTTCAAGAGTTCCTGGCATGCATTCCTTCGATTCTGAGATCATAAGTCAAAATAGCCGCGACGAGAGGCCAGGAGCCTTAAATACAAATATTTAAACTTTCAACATAAAATGTAAGATCTGTTTTATTTCTCTTTTTTTTCAAAGAACCTCCTGAACTAGTGTATACTGGTACAATAAGTTGGAGTATAACAATACTTTGTTTCACTCTAATTTATTGCTTCAGTATCCACCAGTTTATGAAGTTCTTCGAAAAAGAACAGACCTATATATACATATATTGAATATACACACACACGCACACACATATATTCTATTAGGTGGTAAACTTAGTTCCTGCGGCTCACAGTTAGATGACGTTAGTTAGTTGTAGGTGTAATTTATTTTGACATCTGAAACTGGCTGCATTTTAGAGGTTAGACATTTGTCAATAAAATTCAGTGCGAAGAGATTCATTTAAGCGAGCAGTGCTATTTTTTCTTTTGATTAAATATGGAACGTGATAAGTTGTTTTTTCGACATGTGCTGCTTCATTACTTTGACTTGAAAAAAACTGCAGCTGCAGCTCATAAATTGCTTTTCGAAGCTTATGGCAATTATGCTCCATCGGAAAGAACATGCCAAGTATGGTTTCAGCGATTTAAGAGTGGTGATTTTGATGTCAATGATAAAGAACGCTCAGGCCAACCGAAAAAGTTTGAAGACACCGATTTGCAGGCATTATTGGACGAAAACTCTACTCAAACGCTCCAAGAATTGTCTGCAGCATTAAATGTTACTCCGATGGCTGTTTCCAAACGTCTACATGCAATGCAAAAGGAGGGAAAATTCAAAAGGAGGGTACCACACGAATTAACCGCAAATGCCATTGCGAATCGCTTAAACATCTCTATTTCTCTGCTCGCCAGGCAGAAAAAGAAGAGTTTTTTGTGGCGCATAGTGACTGGCGATGAAAAATGGATATACTTCGATAATCCTAAACGAAGAAAATCATGGGTAGACCCTGGCCAACCATCGACATCCACACCAAAGAGAAATATTCATGGCCACAAAGCAATGCTTTGCATTTGGTGGGATATGCACGGCGTCGTTTATTATGAGCTACTCAGACCGAACGAAAGTATCACGGGGGATCGATATCAATCACAATTAAACCGTCTGAATGAAGCATTGTTGGAAAAAAGGCCAGCAGTAGCCAGCAATCGACGTAAAGTCATGCTTTTGCACGACAACGCTCGACCACACGTTTCCAAAGCCGTCAAAGAAACACTGATGCAGCTCGAGTGGGAAGTTCTCCCGCACCCAGCGTATTCACCAGACTTAGCTCCTTCGGACTATTACTTGTTCCGGTCGATGCAGCACGGCTTGGTGGATACACACTTCAGAAATTACGAGGATGTGCGAAAATGGATCGACGAATGGATTGCATCAAAAGACCAATCGTTCTATCGTCGCGGAATCTACGCGTTGCCCGAAAGATGAGAAAAATGTATAGCTAGCGAGGGAAAATACTTCGATTAATGTATTTTTTGCTTTTGATGTCGAAATAAATGAGTTTTTTAAATAAAAAAACCGCAGGAACTAAGTTTACCACCTAATATGTTAAAAGTTCAAGTATTTATGTCCAGAAACCAAAACAATAAGAATGTCTAGGTAAGTGTACAAGCATTGATACTTTTACCTTATGTTAGTGTGCGGTGTAACGAATAGCGTCGCAGCAATTAGTTATCGCGAATGTATTGCTATAACTAGCGTGTAACGTTAATATCACTCTCCTGCGCCGTGAATACGCGCAAGTAAAATTTATTATACGAGTAACATTCGTAAATCATCATGACACGCGTACCGATATTAACGGGGATTTTTGAGATACGAGTAACACGAAAGTCTCACATTTTCTACGATTTGCATATTTCAGTATTAGACTGATTGACGAGAATCGATTCGAATAATACGCAAGAATCGCATCTTTGTATAATATATTGCAAAAAATTGACGCTGTTAAAGAGAATTTGCCATTTCTCGATTTTTTGACTGAACATAACATACAAAATTATTGGTAGAAAAATATGTTAAAGGAAACGATTCTAAAAAGTATTTTGCTGAAATATGAAATGTTACCGAAAATATATCCTGTTCAGTATGTTTTATATTAATCTTATGTTCTTTGTGTTAGAAATGTCGGTAATCGTATTCGCACCGTCTTGAACGATCGAGACTCGTTACGTTGTTAAGACAGAAGCAGACGAGACTGACGCTAAACATATGCTTGTAACAATATAAACCCAATGCGACTCTACTTGCACTCGAATAAGCGCAGAAACAACTTTGATTACCATTGAAATCAGCGAGCGAAGTTAAGATCGAACATCCGACTCGACAAAGGCGTAACGCGGTCGAAATCGCTGATGCAAGATCTTCCTCAGAAATGGAGCTGAGGAACAACAAACTCGGTTAACGGCGATGCACTCACGCCTCTGTTCCTCGATACAAATTACAAGTCGGAGATCGCGAGATCTCACCTCTATCGCTCGTCTTTGCTCGTGCCTTTGCCGAGTATTCGCCTCCTACATTTTCGTTTCTCCGGCAATCTGAACTTCTGATTGCGTCACCGAACAGGAGTTTAAGAACCCGATAAAAACGCTTCCCCGAAACAGGTGGATCCGATAGGAGGCAGATTGCGAGTTTGATACAGCCTCTGCGGGATTTCACTGATGACATCAATTCCCGAGTACGTACCTAATCCTGGATATTCTTGTTGTTTTCGTCTTTAAACATGAATATTTAAGCTTCCAGAATATATTCCCTCTTGCTTCAAAGGTGACACAAGTAAAAAAATTAAGTTTCCCAGAGAAGAGGAAGAACTATTTTTCAACTCGTGTATATCAGACAGAAAATAATTGACTAATCAACTAATATCGGCAAAAAGAATATACTCTTAGAAATATGATTAATTTTCAGTTCACAATGTATTTATTTTTTAATATATGTTTAACTCATAAATGCTAATAAATAACGTGAAAATGAAGTTTCTTGAGTTGCGTCTCTTAAATACAATATATATATTGAATCAATGATTATGTATATATAATTCAACATCGATATGTTTGATTCAATACATGTATACACTATTCAATATAGTGTATACATGTATACACTGAGAGAAAAGTATTTAAAAAATAAAAAGTATTTATTCGGTGGATACTAATAACATGTTTACTTGCACTGATATTTTTCAAATAAGAAAATACACTTTTTTTTAAATCTGAACTTCTCATGAAAGTAATTGTTTGATTTATTTAAATAAAAGAATTTATAAGTTTTTATAAGTTTAAATAAAGGTTATGTATAATAAAAGAATTTAGTAATAGAAGAATTTGGATTTAAGTAAATGTGCTATCAGTAACCACCGAATAAATATTTTTTTATTT